AACCCAAGTTCCCATTTTCCATCCCAAATCCCCATTTTCCATCCCAAATCCCCATTTTTCACCCCAAAATCCCCATTTTTCACCCCAAATCCCCATTTTCCACCCAAATTTCACGAGGTTTTTTTGCTTCATCCCCTCCCAGCCATGCCCAGGTAACCCCAAAATCCCCATTTTTCACCCCAGATCCCCATTTTTCACCCCAAAACCCCCGTTTCCCACCCAAATTTCGCGGGGTTTTTTCGCTCTAGCCCCTCCCAGCTGTGCCCAAATCCCCGTTTTTCACCCCAAATTTCTCATTTTCCACCCAAATTTCGCGGGGTTTTTGTGTCCATCCCCTCCCGTCCGTGCCCAGCTGTGCCCCCCTCACCTTGCGCCGCCGCCAGGGGGAGCCCCAGTCCGGGTGGGGGCTGGGCGGGGCTCGCTGCCCCTCCCCCCACCGGGGCCAGCAGCGTCACCTGGGCCGGGGGGCCAGGAGGTGCTGCCCCCCCGCGGCCACCAGGTGAACCACGTTACCTGCAATGAAAAAATTCCCATTTTATTCCAATTTTTTACCCGTTTTTCGCCATTTTTTTCTCATTTTTTTCCCATTTTTTCCCCATTTTTTTCTCATTTTTTCCATTTTTTTTTTTCCTTCCCCTGGTTTTTTTTTATTTTTTCCCCACTTTTATTCCAAATTTTTACCCTTTTTTCCCATTTTTTTGTCGTTTTTTCCCCATTTTTTCTCATTTTTTCCCATTTTTTTTTCCTTTCCCCTGGTTTTTTTTTTATTTTTTCCCCACTTTTATTCAATATTTTAGCCTTTTTTCCCCATTTTTTTCTCATTTTTTTCTCATTTTTTCCCCATTTTTTCTCATTTTTTCCCATTTTTTTTTTCCTTTCCCCTGGTTTTTCTTTTATTTTTTCCCCACTTTTATTCCAATTTTTTACCCTTTTTTCCCCATTTTTTTCTCATTTTTTTCCCATTTTTTCCCCATTTTTTTCTCATTTTTTCCCTTTTTTTTTTTCCTTCCCCCTGGTTTTTTTTTATTTTTTTCCCTACTTTTATTCCAAATTTTTACCCTTTTTTCCCCATTTTTTTGTCGTTTTTTCACCATTTTTTTCTCATTTTTTCCCATTTTTTTTCCTTTCCCCTGGTTTTTCTTTTATTTTTTCCCCACTTTTATTCCAATTTTTTACCCTTTTTTCCCCCATTTTTTCCCCATTTTTTGTCGTTTTTTTCCCATTTTTTTCCTCATTTTTTTCCCATTTTTTTTTTCCTTTCCCTGTTTTTTTTTTATTTTTTCCCCACTTTTATTCCAATTTTTACCCTTTTTCCCCCCATTTTTTCCCCATTTTTTGTCGTTTTTTTCCCATTTTTTTCCTCATATTTTTCCCATTTTTTTTCCTTTCCCCTGGTTTTTTTTTATTTTTTCCCCACTTTTATTCCAATTTTTTACCCTTTTTTCCCCATTTTTTCTCATTTTTTCCCCATTTTTTTCCTCATTTTTTTCTGCTTTTTTTTTTCCTTTCCCCTGTTTTTTTTTTGTTTTTTTCCCCACTTTTATTCCAATTTTTTGCCCTTTTTTTTCCCTTGACTTCTCTCATTTTTTCCTTTTGTACCTTTTTTTTCTGCACTTTTGTTTCCCTATTCTTTCCACTTTAATTTTTACAATTCTTTACAAATTTTCTGCCCCTTTTTCTCCATTATTTTGCCCATTTTTCTCCAAGGTTTACTCAATTATTTGCAATTTTTTTTTCTTTTTTCCCCCAACTTTCTCCATTTTTCCCAATTTTCCCATTTTTTTCACGCATTTTTCACCATTTTTTCTCCATTTTTGGCTGATTTCTTCCCATTTATTCCTCTATTCTTCCCAAATTTTTTTCCCATTTTTTTTTCCCTAAAATTTTTACTATTTTTTCCCAACTTTGTCTCCATTTTCCTCCGGTTTCCCCTACACTACTTGGAGATTTTTTTGTTTTTCTGCTATTTCTCCCCACTTTTTCTCTAATATTTTCTTATTTTTTCCCGATTTTCTCCCCTCATTTTTTCCCCCAAATTTCCCCTCAAAACCCCAAAAATCCCCAAATTTCCTCATAACCCCCCAAAAATCCCCCAAAATTTCAAAAAAAAACCCCCAAAAAATTCAAATAAAACACCAAAATCCCCAAATTTTTACCTAAAATCCCCGAAGTTTTGCCCAAACCTCCCAAAACCCCCAAATTTTCCCTCAGAACCCCCAAAATTCCCAAATTTCCTCAAAACCCCCCCCAAAATCCCCCAAAATTCAAAAAAAACCCAAAAAAATTCCAATAAAACCCCAAAAACCTCCCCCAAAATCCCCAAATTTTTACCTAAAATCCCCAAATTTTTGCCCAAACCTCCCCAAAACCCCCAAATTTTCCCTCAGAACCAAAAAATCCCCAAATTTCCCCCAAAAAACCAAAAAAAAATCCCCCAGAATTCCCCCAAATTTTTGACTCACGTGCGAGCCCCCGGCCGGGGGGCGGGGCCAAGGCCAGATGACGTAATGGGGGGGCGGGGCCAAGCGTGACTTTGCTGCCCTGGAGCTGCAGCGTCAGAGGGGGCGGGGCCGAGGCCGGAGGGGGCGTGGCCACGGCGGCGGGTGGGAGGGGCGAGGGTTTGGCCACGCCCCCCGGAGGGGAGGGGCGATGCTGGGCCAGGGCCGCCAATTGGCCGAGGCTTACGACTTCTCCCGCTGGGGAAAAAAAATGCAAATTTTATGCAAATTTTGAATTGAAAGTCTTTAATTGGGGCGCGGGGAAGGCGGGGGAGAGGCTCCCGAAAAAATCCCCCTCAAAAATCCCGGGTTAATTATGCAAATTAGGCACTAATTAAGGGGCAAAAACGTTAATTTCAAGGATTTTTTTGGGAGGTGTTTTGGGGAATTTTGGAGGAAAAAAATGGAAATTCTGAGCAAATTTTTTTAATTAAAAATTGTTAATTGGGGCGTGGGGAAGGTGGGGGAGGGGATCCCGAAAAAATCCCCCTCAAAAATCCCGGGTTAATTATGCAAATTAGGCGCTAATTAGGGGCAAAACCACTAATTTCAGGGATTTTTTTTGGAGGTGTTTTGGGAATTTAGGAGGAAAAATGGAAATTTTGGGCAAATTTTTTAATTAAAAATTGTTAATTGAGGGTGGGGAGGGTGGCAAAGGGGTCCCTGAAAAAATCCTGGGTTAGTTATGCAAATTATCTGCTAATTAAGGGAATAATTAAGGGGCTTGGAGAGAGATTTGAGGAGGATTTCGGGGAAAAAAATGGAAATTTTGGGCAAATTTTTCAATTAAAAATTGTTAATTGGGGGGTGGTGAAGGTGAGGGAGGGGCTCCCGAAAAAAATCCCACAAACAAATCCCGGGTTAATTATGCAAATTATCGCCTAATTAGCATAGAAACTAGAAGTTTCCCGTAGAAATCCAGGGTTCATGGAAAGACTTTAAAAGTGCTTATGCAAATGAGGTGCTAATGAGGGATGTGATTATGCAAATGAGGTGCTAACGAGACACTTTAAAGGGATTTGAGGCTACGCAATGCTAATGAACCGGCTTATGCAAATTAGATGCTGGTTAAACGCAGAATTGGCTTCTTTAAAGAGGTGTTAGCAAACCAATGCAAATTATATGCTAATGATGATGGCTTCTATGCAAATTAGGTGTTAATGAGGTCTGGGATTGAGACATAAAAGCCATTTCGGGAAGCCCATGCAAATCAGATGTTAATTACGCAAATTAGACAATAACAAAATGCATACAGAGGCTTTTTAACGGCGGCTTGAGAAATTTATGCAAATCATATGCTAATGAGAAAAAGCTAGGATGTCTTAAACTGTTATTTATGCAAATTAGATGCAAATGAGCTCCGAGTCACAGGTGTGGTCAGGTAATTAAATGGTTCTAGGGGGTTGTATGCAAATGAGAAGTTAATGAAATACGTTAGTATGCAAATAAAGTGTTAATTATGAGTACGGCTTCACGATAATTTATGCAAATGAGATGCTAATGAAAAATAACTTTTTTAGAAAAAATCCGAAAAATACTTGGGGGAAATTTTTGATAAAATTTGAGACAATTGAGGAAAAAATTTCTGTACGTGTTTTAAAAATTAGCGACGCTTTTCAAAGGTGCTCATGCAAATCAGATGCAAATGACATGCAAATGAAAAACTACTTTTTTAGAAAAAAACCAAAAAATATTATGGGGAAATTTTTGATAAAATTTGAAACAATTTAAGGAAAAAATTTACGTATGCATTTTAAGAATTAGCGACGCTTTTAAAATGTGCTCATGCAAATGAGATGCAAATGAGATGCCAATAAAAAGGGATTTTTTTAGAAGAAATCTGAAAAGTACTTGGGGGAAACTTTTCATAAAATTCCAGACAATTTAAATAAAAAGTTTACGTATGTATTTGAAAAATTACCTACTCTTTTCAAACGTGCTCATGCAAATGAGATGCAAATGAGATACAAATGAGATACAAGTAAAAAAGGATTTTTTAAGAAGAAATCCCAAAAATACTTGGGGGAAACTTTTGATAAAATTCGAGACAATTTAAGGAAAAAAATTTACGCATGTATTTTAAGAATTAGCGATGCTTTTCAAAGGTGCTCATGCAAATGAAATGCAAATGAGACGCAAACGAAAACGGATTTTTTTAGAAGAAATCTGAAAAACACTTGGGGGAAATTTTTGATGAAATTTGAAACAATTTAAGGAAAAAAATTTACGTGCGTATTTTAGGAATTAGCTGCGATTTTCATACGTGCTCGTGCAAATGAGATGCAAATGAGATGAAAATGAGACGCAAATAAAAAAGGATTTTTTTAGAAGAAATTTGAAAAATATTTGGTGGAAATTTTTGATAAAATTAGACACAATTCAAAGAAAAAATTTACGTATGTATTTTAAGTATTAGCTGCGGTTTTAAAACGTGCTCATGCAAATGAGATGCAAATGAGATGCAAATGAGATGCAAATGAGATGCAAATGAAAACGGGATTTCTTTAGAAGACATCAGAAAAATACTTAGGGGAAATTTTTGATAAAATTTGAGACAATTTAAAGAAAAAATTTGTGTATGCATTTTAGGAATTAGCGACGCTTTTAAAACGTGCTCATGCAAATGAGATGCAAATGAGATGCAAATGAGATGCAAATGAAAACGGGATTTCTTTAGAAGACATCAGAAAAATACTTAGGGGAAATTTTTGATAAAATTTGAGACAATTTAAAGAAAAAATTTGCGTATGCATTTTAGGAATTAGCGACGCTTTTAAAACGTGCTCATGCAAATGAGATGCAAATGAGAAGGGGGCGTGGCTTACAGGGCAGCCGGGCCTGCATGTCCGGGGCCAGCAGGAGCCGCTGGGGCAGCGCGAACGTGGCCACGCCCCCCACGGGAGGGGGCGGGGCCGGCCCCGCCCCTTTGCCCATATTCGGTGTGGGCGTGGCCACGGGGGCGGGGCCTCCCGCCGGGTGTGGGCGTGGCCAACGAAGCAGCCGGGAGAGCTGGGGGAGAAATCAATTAAGCCACGCCCACCTCATTTAAATACAAAGTTCTAACCCTAATTAGGCCCCGCCCACCGTTTTCCCAACCCTTTTGATTAAGCCACAATTAAGCCCCGCCCCTTCCTAATTAATCCCACTTCTCTAATTAAGCCCCACACTCAATTAAGCTCCGCCCCCTTCCTAATTAACCCCACCCCGCTAATTAAGCCCCACGCTCAATTAAGCCCTGCCCCTTCCTAATAAAGCCCCACCCTCAATAAAGTCCCATCCTTTCCTAATTAAGCCCCACCCCTAATTAGGCTTAACCCTTTTAATTAATCCCGGCCCCTTCCTAATTTAGCTCTATCCCTAATTAAGCTTGACCCTTTTAATTTCGCCCCACCCCCTCTAGTTAAGCTCCACCCCCTCTAATTAAACCCTGCCTCTTCCTAATTAAGCCCCACCCCTAATTAAGCTTGACCCTTTTAATTAAGCCCCACCCCCTCAAGTTAAGCTCCACCCTTCCCTAATTAAGCCCCACCCCTCTAATTAAGCCCCACCCCCTCGAATTAAGCACCACTCCTGTAAGTAAGTCCCACCCTCAATTAAGTCCCACCCCTCTAATTAAGTCCCACCCCCTCTAATTAAGCACCACTCCTATAATTAAGCCCCACCCTCAATTAAGCCCCACCCCGTCCTAATTAAGCCCTGGCCCTAATTAATCTTCACCCTTTTAATTAAGCCCCGACCCTAATAAATAAGCCCCACCCCCTCTAATTAAGTTCCTTTTAATTCAGCCCCCTGTTTCTAATTAGTCCCTAACTAATCCCTGATTAATTAATTCCTAATTAACCGTTTCTAATTAAGCCCCATCCCTTTCTAATTAGTCTCAACATCTCTAATTAAGCTTCGCTCTTTTCTAATTAATCCCCACCCCAATTAAGCCCCGCCCCTTCCTAATTAAAGCCCACCCACAAACTCCTAATTAAGCTCTGCCCCTAATTAAACCCCACTCTTAACGAACCACCCAGCCCTAATTAGCTCCCAACCCTAATTAATTCCCATTAATCGCCATTAAATAGTTACACGCCAATTAAATCCTGTTCCCTAATTAACCCAAGCCCCAATTAAAACCCGCTGCTAATTAAGCTCACCCAAATCAACCCCCAACTAATTAGCCCTTATTAACCTCCATCTCTAATTAACGTTGTCCCAAATAGCCCCGCCCCTAATTAAGTCTTACTCCTAATTAATCCCCATCCAATTAACACCCAGTTCTAATTAACCCAACACAAATTGACAAAAACTCCTAATTAATCCCCTAATTAACCACCCCAATGAATCAATTAATCCCACCCCTAATTACCACGCCCCACCCCAACTAATTAACTTATCTGTAAATTAAGCCCCGCCCCCTCACCGTGGGCGGGCCCTCCGGGGGGCGGAGCCAGCAGAGTGGGCGTGGCCCGGGGCGGGGCCAGCGCCAATCCCAGCCCCAGGTTCAGCCCCGCCCCCTGCGTCGTCACCAGGGGGGCGGGGCCAGCGCTGGGGGCGTGGCTCAGCGTGACGAGGGGCGGGGCTTGCACCAGCAAGGGGGCGGGGCTCGGCGCGGAGGGGGCGGGGCTCGGCGCGGAGGGGGCGGGGCTGGGCGAGGCCACGCCCCCGGGGGCGGGGCGAGGGGCGGGGAGGAGCAAAACCGCCCGAGGCTCCGCCTTCGGCACCGGCTGCAGCATCCTGGGAAAAAGGGGCGGAGTCAGGGCGGGACACGCCCACAGAGCGGCTGTATTTGGGCGTGGCCACGCCCACAGGTGTGGCTTAAGATGGGTGTGGCCACGCCCACGGGTGAGGCCATAGATAGGTATAAATACCTGGGACACGCCCAAAAGGTCCCCCAGGTGTGCCCAGGTGTGCCCAAACCCTCCCAGCTGTGCCCAGGTGTGCCCAAAATCCCAATTTTGGTCCTTTTAGCCCCAAATTTTTGTGTTTTACCTGTCCCAGGTGTGCCCAGCTGTGCCCAGGTGTGCCCAAAATCCCAATTTCGGTCCTTTCAACCCCAAATTTCGGTGTTTTACCTGTCCCAGGTGTGCCCAGCTGTGCCCAGGTGTGCCCAAAATCCCAATTTTGGTCCTTTGAACCCCAAATTTCGGTGTTTTACCTGTCCCAGGTGTGCCCAGGTGTGCCCAAACCCCCCCAGGTGTGCCCAGGTGTGCCCAAAATCCCAATTTCGGTCCTTCCAAACCCAAGTTTTCGTGTTTTACCTGTCCCAGGTGTGCCCAGGTGTGCCCAAAATCCCAATTTTGGTCCTTTGAACCCCAAATTTCGGTGTTTTACCTGTCCCGGGTGTGCCCAGGTGTGCCCAAAATCCCAATTTTGGTCCTTTGAACCCCGAGTTTCGGTGTTTTACCTGTCCCAAGTGTGCCCAGGGGTGCCCAGGTGTGCCCAAGCGCACTCAGGTGCCCCCAGGTGTATCCCAGGTGTGCCCAGGTATATCCCAGGTGTGCTCCAGGTAACCCCAAAATCCGCATTTTTCACCCCAAAATCCCCATTTTCCACCCAAATTTCACCGGGTTTTTTTGGGTTATCCCCTCCCAGGTGTGCCCAGGTGTGCCCGGGCGTGCCCCCCCCCCCCCCCCCCCCCCACTCACCTGTTCACCTTCATGCGCACGGGTTTGGGGCGGGGCGGCGGCTCGGGGGCGGCGGCCACGTCCTGCAGGTGGCGCCGCGTGACGCGGAAGCGCGGCAGGAACCAATCGGAGGCGTAGCGGGACAGGTGCGACTCCAGCGACGCCAGCTCGAACGGGGACAGGTCCACCTGCTGGGGACACGCCCGGGTCACACCTGGGACACACCTGGGACACACCTGGGACACCTGGGACACACCTGAGACACACCTGGGACACGCCTGAGCAATCTGTGATACACCTGGGACGCAGCTGAGTGACACCTGACACACCTAGGACACACCTGTGACACACCTGGGTGACACCTGGGGGACACCTGACACACCTGTGACACACCTGGGTGACACCTGGGGGACACCTGACACACCTGTGACACACCTGAGTGGCATTTGAGACACGTGGGACACACCAGACACACGTGTGACACACCTGGGGGACACCTGAGACACCTGGGACACACCTGTGTGCAACTGTGACACACCTGGGGGACACCTAGGACACACCTGGGGGACACCTCAGCAATCCGTGATACACCTGAGTGGCACCTGACACACCTGGGACACACGCATGACACACCTGGGTGACATCTGGGGGACACCTGGGACACACCTGAGTGACACCTGAGGCACCTGTGACACACCTGAGCAATCTGTGACACACCTGAGTGACACCCGACACACCTGCGTGACACCTGGGCGGCGTTTGACACACCTGTGGCACACCTGAGCAATCTGGGACACACCCGGGTGACACCTGGGGGACACCTGGGACACACCTAGGGCACACCTGTGTGCAACTGTGATACACCTGTGACACACCTGGGGGACACCTGAGACACCTGGGACACACCTGACACACCTGGGACACACCTCTAACACACCTGTGGGACACCTGTGACACACCTGAGTGACACCTGTGACATATGGCACACCTGGGACACACCTGAATGACACCTGAGGGACAATGGGCACACACCTGACACACCTGTGACACACCTGAGCAATCTGTGGCACACCTGAGTGACACCTGAGACACCTGCGTGACACCTGGGGGACACCTGGGACACACCTAGGACACACCTGTGTGCAACTGTGATACACCTGTGACACACCTGGGGGACACCTGAGACACCTGTGACGCACCTGAGACACACCTGGGACACAGCTGAGCAATCCGTGACACACCTAGGTGACACTTGTGACGCACCTGTGACGCACCTGTGACACACCTGTAACACACCCGAGCTATCTGCGGTACACCTGAGCAATCTGTGGTATGCCTGCGTGACACCTGGCACACCTGAGTCACACCTGGGACACACCTGAACAATCTGTGACACACCTGGGTGACACCTGGGACAGCTGGGACACACCTGAGACACCTGGGACGCACCTGGGGGACACCTGAGACACCTGTGCCACACCTGAGCAGTCTATGATATACCTGCGTGACACCTGGGTGATGTTTGACACATCTGTGACACACCTGAGCGACACCTGATACACCTAGGACACACCTGAACAATCTGTGACACACCTGGGTGACACCTGAGTGACACCTGGCACACCTGTGGCACACCTGAGTGACAGCTGTGACACACTATGACACACCTGTGACACACCTGAGTAACGTCTGAGTGACACCTGGGACACAGCTAAACAATCTGTGATGCACCTGAGTGACACCTGGGTGACACACCTGAGCAATCTGTGACACACCTGGGGGACAGCTGAAACACCTGTGACACACCTGTGACAGACCTGAACAATCTGTGATGCATCTGAGTGACACCTGGCACACCTGTGACACACCTGCGTGACATCTGGTGGACACCTGAGACACACCTGTGACACACCTGAGCAACCTGTGACACACCTGAGTGACAGCTTAAACACCTGTGACACACCCGAGACACCTGGGACACACCTGGGGGGACATCTGAGCAACCTGCGACACACCTGAGTGACACCTGACACACCTGTGACACACCTGTGACAGACCTGAACAATCTGTGATGCGCCTGCGTGACACCTGGGGGACACCTGGGACACACCTGTGACACACCTGAGCAATCTGTGACACACCTGGGTGACACCTGACGCACCTGAGTGACACCTGACACACCTGTGACACGCCTGAGTGACACCTGTGTGACCCCCCAGCGCTCCACAATCTCTCCAGGTGTGTCTCACCTGTCCCAGGTGTGTCCCACCCATCCCCAGGTGTGTCTCACCTGTCCCAGGTGTGTCTCAGGTGTGTCCCACCCATCCCCAGGTGTGTCTCACCTGTCCCAGGTGTGTCTCACCTGTCCCCATCTGCATCTCAGCTGTCTCTCACCTGTGTCCCGCTCATCTCCAGGTGTGTCTCACCTGTCCCACCCATCCCCAGGTGTGTCTCAGGTGTGTCCCACCCATCCCCAGGTGCGTCTCACCTGTCCCAGGTGTGTCTCAGGTGTATGCCATCCATCCCCACGTGTGTCTCACCTGTACATCACGTGTCCCAGGTGTGTCCCACCCATCCCCAGATGTGTCTCACCTGTCCCACCCATCCCCAGGTGTGTCTCACCTGTCCCACGTGTGTCTCACCTGTCTCCACCTGTATCTCAGCTGTCTCTCACCTGTGTCCCGCTCATCTCCAGGTGTGTCTCACCTGTCCCAGGTGCGTCCCACCCATCCCCAGGTGTGTCCCACCTGTCTCACCTGTGTCTCACCGATCCCAGGTCTATCGCTGTCACCTGCATCTCACCTGTCCCAGGTGCGTCTCACCTGTCTCACCCATCCCCAGGTGTGTCTCACCTGTCCCACCCATCCCCAGGTGTGTCTCACCTGCATCTCACCTGTCCCAGGTGCGTCTCACCTGTCTCACCCATCCCCAGGTGTGTCTCACCTGCATCTCACCTATCCCAGGTGTGTCTCACCTGTATCTCACCTGTCCCAGGTGCGTCTCACCTGTCCCACCCATCCCCAGGTGTGCCTCACCTGTACATCACGTGTCCCAGGTGTGTCTCACCCATCCCCAGGTGTGTCTCACCTGCCCCAGGTGTGTCTCAGGTGTATCCCACCCATCCCCAGGTGTGTCTCACCTGTCCCAGGTGCGTCTCACCTGTGTCTCACCCATCCCCACCTGTATCTCACCTGTCCCAGGTGTGTCTCACCCATCCCCAGGTGTGCCTCACCTGTCCCAGGTGTGTCTCACCTGTGTCTCACCCATCCCCACCTGTATCTCACCTGTCCCAGGTGTGTCTCACCCATTCCCAGGTGTGCCTCACCTGTCCCAGGTGTGTCTCAGGTGTGTCTCACCCATCCCCAGGTGTGCCTCACCTGTCCCAGGTGTGTCTCACCCATCCCCAGGTGTGCCTCACCTGTCCCAGGTGTGTCTCACCCATCCCCAGGTGTGCCTCACCTGTCCCAGGTGTGTCTCAGGTGTGTCTCACCCATCCCCAGGTGTGCCTCACCTGTCCCAGGTGTGTCTCAGGTGTGTCTCACCCATCCCCAGGTGTGCCTCACCTGTCCCAGGTGTGTCTCACCCATCCCCAGGTGTGCCTCACCTGTCCCAGGTGTGTCTCAGGTGTGTCTCACCCATCCCCAGGTGTGCCTCACCTGTCCCAGGTGTGTCTCACCCATCCCCAGGTGTGCCTCACCTGTCCCAGGTGTGTCTCACCCATCCCCAGGTGTGCCTCACCTGTTCCCCCTGTATCTCACCTGTCTCACCTGTATCTCACCGGCCCAGGTGTGTCACTCACCTGGCAGGGGTGTGGCTCTCTCACCTGTCCCAGGTGTGCCTCTCACCCAGAAGGGGGCGTGTCCCACCCAAAAAGGGGCGTGTCTCACCCAAAGGGGGCGTGTCCCACCCAAAGGGACGTGTCTCACTCACCTGTAAGGGGTATGGCTCACCTGGAAGGGGCGTGTCCCACCCAAAAGAGGGCGTGTCTCACCCAAAAGGAGGCGTGTCTCACCTGGAAGGGGCGTGACCCACCCAAAAGAGGGCGTGTATCACCCAAAAGGGGGCGTGTCCCACCCAAAAGGGGGCGTGTCTCACCTGGAAGGGGTGTGGCTCTCTCACCTGCCCCAGGTATTTCCCACCCAAAAAAGGGGGCGTGTCTCGCCCAAAGGAGGCGTGTCCCACCCGGAAGGGGGCGTGTCTCACCTGGAAGGGGTGTGACTCTCTCACCTAGAAGGGGCGTGTCCCACCTGAAGAGGGCGTGTCCAACCCAAAAAAGGGGTGTGTCCCACCCAAAAGGGGGCGTGTCCCACCCAAAAGGGGGCGTGTCCCACCTGCAAGGGGTGTGGGTCTCTCACCTGTCCCAGGTATTTCCCACCCAAAAAAGGGGGCGTGTCTCGCCCAAAAGGGGGCGTGTCCCACCTGGAAGGGGCGTGTCTCTCTCACCTGCCCAGGTATGTCACTCAAAAAAGGGGGCGTGTCTCACCCAAAAGGGGGCGTGTCTCACCCAAAAAGGGGCGTGTCCCACCAAAAAAGGGGGCGTGTCTCACCCAAAAGGGGGCGTGTCCCACCCAAAGGGGGCGTGTCCCACCCAAAGGGGGCATGTCTCACCTGGAAGGGGTGTGGCTCTCTCACCTGTACAAGTACATCTCACCCCAAAAGGGGGCGTGTCTCACCTGGAAAGGGGCGTGTCCCACCCAAAAAGGGGGCGTGTCCCACCTGGCAGGGGGCGTGTCTCAACTGGAAGGGGCGTGTCCCACCCGGAAGGGGGCGTGTCCCACCCAGAAGGGGCGTGTCCCACCTGCAGGGGGCGTGTCCCACCCAAAAGGGAGCGTGTCCCACCCAAAAAGGGGGCGTGTCCCACCTGCAGGGGGCGTGTCTCACCTGGAAGGGGTGTGGCTCCAGCGCCCGCAGCACCAGGGCGGGCGCGCCCAGGCTGAGGCCGGGCGTGACCAGCGGTGACGTCACGGGGCGGGGCTCGAACAGGTCGGGGTGGTTGCACACCTTGCGCAGCTGCATCAGCACGTTGATGACGCTCATGAAATGGCCGCTGGCCAGCGTCGCCTTGGTGCTGGAAAACAAGGGGTTAAACGCCACCTGGGCGCACCTGGGCTCACCTGGAAACATCTGGGAGTCACCTGAGAAATTTGGGGGAATTTGGGAGAGATTTATAGGGGAATTTCGGGATTTAAAGGGGAATTTTGGGGCATTCCCTGCAGAAATTTGGGGATTTTGGGGCCTCCAGGTGCTGAAATTGGGGTGGGAAATTCACCTGGAGGTCACCTGGGCACACCTGGAACTCACCTGAGAAGTTTGGGGGAATTTAAGAGGGATTTAAAGGGGGAATTTTGGGGCATTTCCTGCAGAAATTTGGGGATTTTGGGGTTCCAGGTGCTGAAATTGGGGTGGGAAATTCACCTGGGGCTCACCTGAAAAATTTGGGGGAATTTGGGTGGAATTTAAAGGCGAAATTTTGGGGTTTAAAAGGGAAAATTTGGGGATTTTGGAGGTGGAAAATTCACCTGGGACTCACCTGAGCTCACCTGAGAAATTTAGGGGAATTTGGGAGGGATTTAAAGGGGAATTTTGGGGCATTTCCTGCAGAAATTTGGGGATTTTGGGGCTTCCAGGTGCTGAAATTGGGGTGGGAAATTCACCTGAGCTCACCTGGGCACACCTGGAACTCACCTGAGAAATTTGGGGGAATTTGGGTGGGGTTTGAAGGAGAAATTTGGGGGATTTCTAGCAAAAATTTGGGGATTTGGGGGCTCCAGGTGCTGAAATCGGGGTGGGAAATTCACCTGGGGCTCACCTGAGCGCACCTGGGCAACTCCGGGCGCAATTTGATCAAATTTAGGCAAAATTTCCTGGGAATTTCGGGGTTTTTTGGCCCCCAGGTGTGCCCAGGTGTGCCCAGGTGTGCCAGCCTCACCTGGCCTGGCCATGACGTCATCAGAGAACCCAAATGGTGAATTTTGAGTCCATTTTTTGGTAAATCTGGGCACAATTTCAACGAAATTGAGGAAAATTTAATCAGAATTCTGGGAATTTTTGGTGCCCAGGTGTGCCCAGGTGTGCCAACCTCACCTGGCCTGGCCATGACGTCACCAGAGACCCCAAATGGTGAATTTTGGGGTGGATTTTGAGTGAATTTGGGTGGAATTTGGGCCAAAAATGCTCAAATTTTGACAGAATTTCCTGGGAATTTCGAGGGTTTTTTGCCCCCAGGTGTGCCCAGGTGTGCCCAGGTGTGCCAGCCTCACCTGGCCTGACTCATAACATCATCACAGACCCCAAGAAAGCAAATTTGGGTGCAATTTGGGCAGAAATTGCTCAAATTTGGGCAGAATTTCTGGGAATTTCAGGGTTTTTTTGCCCCCAGGTGTGCCCAGGTGTGCCAGCCTCACCTGGCCTGGCCATGACGTCACCAGAGACCCCAAATGGTGAATTTTGGGTGGATTTGGGTGCAATTTGGGCACAAATTGACCAAATTTGGGTAAAACCTAACGTGAGTTTTGGGAATTTTTGGAACCCAGGTGTGCCCAGGTGTGCCCAGGTGTGCCCAGGTGTGCCAGCCTCACCTGGCCTGGCCATGACGTCATCAGAGACCCCAGATGGTGAATTTTGGGTGGATTTGGGTGCAATTTGGGCACAATTTGATCAAATTCGGGCAGAATTTCCTGGGAATTTTGGGGTTTTTTGGCCCCCAGGTGTGCCCAGGTGTGCCAGCCTCACCTGGCCTGGCCATGACATCATCAGAGACCCCAAATGGTGAATTTTGGGTCCATTTTTTGGTAAATCTGGGCACAATTTCAACGAAATTGAGGAAAATTTAATCAGAATTCTGGGAATTTTTGGTGCCCAGGTGTGCCCAGGTGTGCCAACCTCACCTGGCCTGGCCATGACATCATCAGGGACCCCAAATGGTGAATTTTGGGTGGATTTTGAGTGGATTTGGGTGGAATTTCGGTCAAAAATGCTCAAATTTTGATACAATTTCCTGGGAATTTCGGGGTTTTTTCGCCCCCAGGTGTGCCCAGGTGTGCCCAGGTGTGCCAGCCTCACCTGGCCTGGCCCATGAAGTCGTCGTAGAGGAACCTCTGGCGCTTGGACAGGCGGCACCGCAGCACGTGCTCGTACTTCTTGGGCATCTGCTTCTCCACGTCCACCTTGAGGCGGCGCAGCAGGAACGGCCGCAGCACCTGGGGGGACAGGTGTGTCACAGGTGTGTCACAGGTGTGCCCAGGTGTGTCACAGGTGTGCCCAGGTGTGTCCCCAGAGGTTCTGGATGTGACCCAGGTGTGCCCAGGTGTGTCCCCATAGGTCCCAGGTGTGTCCCAGGTGTGCTTAATCCCTCCCAGGTGTGCCCCAGGTGTGCCTCAGTGTCCCCAAGTGTGTCCCACGTGTGTCCCCAGAGGTTCTGGATGTGTCCCAGGTGTGCCCAGGTGTGTCCCAATAGATCTCAGGTGTGTCCCAGGTGTGCCTGGGCGTGACAGAGTGTGCCTCAGGTGTGTTCAACCTCCCCAGGTGTACCCAGGTGTGTTTAATCCCTCCCAGGTGTGTCCCAGGTGTGTCTAATCCCTCCCAGGTGTGTCCCAGGTGTGTCTCAGTGTCCCCAGGTGTGTCCCAAGAGGTTCTGGATGTGACCCAGGTGTGCCCAGATGGTTCCCAACAGGTCTCAGGTGTATCCCAGGTGTGTCTAGGTGTGTCCCAGGTGTGTCCCCAGGTGTGCTTAATCCCTCCCAGGTGTGTCCCAGGTGTGCCTCAGTGTCCCCAGGTGTGTCCCAGGTGTGTCCCAGGTGTGTCCCAGGTGTGTTTAATCCCTCCCAGGTGTGTCCCAGGTGTGTTCAATCCCACAGCAGGAACGGCCACAGCACTGGGGGGAGGGACAGGTGTGTCACAGGTGTGCCCAGGTGTGTCCCAAGAGGTTCTGGATGTGCCCCAGGTGTGCCCAGGTGTGTCCCAATAGGGCTCAGGTGCGGCTCAGGTGTGTCCAAGGTGTGCTTAATCCCTCCCAGGCGTGCCCCAGGTGTGCCTCAGTGTCCCCAGGTGTGTCCCAGGTGTGTCCCAGGTGTGTTTAATCCCTCCCAGGTGTGTCCCAGGTGTGTTCAATCCCACAGCAGGAACGGCCACAGCACTGGGGGGAGGGACAGGTGTGTCACAGGTGTGCCCAGGTGTGTCCCAAGAGGTTCTGGATGTGCCCCAGGTGTGCCCAGGTGTGTCCCAATAGGGCTCAGGTGCGGCTCAGGTGTGTCCAAGGTGTGCTTAATCCCTCCCAGGCGTGCCCCAGGTGTGCCTCAGTGTCCCCAGGTGTGACCCAGGTGTGCCCAGGTGTGTCCCAATAGGTCCCAGGTGTGACCCAGGTGTGCCCAGGTGTGTCCCAGGTGTGCCCCAGGTGTGCCTCAGTGTCCCCAGGTGTGTCCCAGGTGTGTTCAATCCCGCAGCAGGAACGGCCGCAGCACCTGGGGGGGGGGGGGGGAGGAGAACACACCTGGTCAGGTGGGCACAGGTGTGTCACAGGTGTGTCCCAAGAGGTTCTGGATGTGACCCAGGTGTACCCAGGTGTGTCCCAATGGGTCTCAGGTGTGTCCCAGCTGTGTCTGGATGTGTCCCAGGTGTGTCCCAGGTGTGTTTAACCTCCCCAGGTGTGCCCAGGTGCGTCCAATCCCCTCAGGTGTGTCCAGGTGTGTCCCAGGTGTGTTTCACCTCCCCAGGTGTGCCCAGGTGTATCCAGGTACCTTACGGAGTCGTTTCACCAAACTCTCGTTGCGCTCCTGGCTGCCCTCGACCGCGCCCGTCAGGTGTGCCCCAGTGTCACCCGTTCACACCCAGGTGTACCCCACGTGTATCCCACTACAGCCCAGGTGTATCCAGGTGTATCACGGGTGTGCTTACCTGTGCCCAGGTGCGTTACCTTGTGCAGTCTCTCCACCAGGCTCTCGTTGTACTCCTGGCTGCCCTCGACCGTGCCCATCAGGGGGTTGTGGAACCCAGGTGTGACCCATGTGGTATATCCCACTATAACCCACTATAACCCAGTGTAACCCAGGTGTATCACAGGTGTATCCACGTACCTTGTGCAGTCTCTCCACCAGGCTCCCGTTGTACTCCTGGCTGCCCTCGACCGCGCCCGTCAGGGGGTTGTGGAACCCAGGTGTGACCCGTGCGTATTGTATGCGTATATACCCATACCCAGGTGTACCACAGGTGTATCCAGGTGTACCACACCTGTGCTCAAATACCTTGGGCACTCTCTTGACGAGGCTCCCGTTGTACTCCTGGCTGCCCTTGACCACGCCCGTCAGGGGGTTGTGGAACCCAGGTGTGTCCCATCCACAACCCAGGTGTATCCCAGGTGTAACTCCCTATAACCCAGTGTAACTCAGGTGTATCACACCTGTTCCCAGGTGTATCCAGGTACCTTGTGCAGTCTCTTCACCAGGCTCTCGTTGTACTCCTGGCTGCCCTTGACCACGCCCGTCAGGGGGTTGTGGAACCCAGGTGTGACCCATGTGGTATATCCCGCTATAACCCACTATAACCCAGTGTAACTCAGGTGTATCACAGGTGTATCCAGGTACCTTGTGCAGTCTCTTCACCAGGCTCTCGTTGTACTCCTGGCTGCCCTCGGCCGTGCCCGTCGGGGTTGTGGAACCCAGGTGTGACCCATGTGGTATATCCCACTATAACCCACTCATACCCAATGTAACCCAGTGTAACTCAGGTGTATCACAGGTGTATCCAGGTACCTTGTGCAGTCTCTTCACCAGGCTCTCGTTGTACTCCTGGCTGCCCTTGACCACGCCCGTCAGGGGGTTGTGGAACCCAGGTGTGACCCATGTGGTATATCCCACTATAACCCACTCATACCCACTATAACCCAGTGTAACTCAGGTGTATCACACCTGTTCCCAGGTGTATCCAGGTACCTTGTGCAGTCTCTTCACCAGGCTCTCGTTGTACTCCTGGCTGCCCTCGATCATGCCCGTCAGGGGGTTGTGGAACCCAGGTGTGACCCATGTGGTATATCCCGCTATAACCCACTATAACCCAGTGTAACCCGGGTGTATCACAGGTGTATCCAGGTGTGCCCAGGTGCGCTACCTTGTGCAATCTCTTCATCAGGCTCTCGTTGTACTCCTGGCTGCCCTCGATCGTGCCCGTCAGGGGGTTGTGGAACCCAGGTGTGACCCACGTGGTATATCCCGCTATAACCCACTATAACCCAGTGTAACCCGGGTGTATCACAGGTGTATCCAGGTGTGCCCAGGTGCGTTACCTTGTGCAGTCTCTTCACCAGGCTCCCGTTGTACTCCTGGCTGCCCTCGACCACGCCCATCAGGGGGTTGTGGAACCCAGATGTGACCCACGTGGTATATCCCGCTATAACCCACTATAACCCAGTGTAACCCGGGTGTATCACAGGTATATCCAGGTGTGCCCAGGTGCGTTACCTTGTGCAGTCTCTTCACCAGGCTCTCGTTGTACTCCTGGCTGCCCTCGGCCGTGCCCGTCAGGGGGTTGTGGAACCCAGGTGTGACCCATGTGGTATATTCCGCTATAACCCACTATAACCCAGTGTAACTCAGGTGTATCACAGGTGTGCCCAGGTGCGTTACCTTGTGCAGTCTCTTCACCAGGCTCTCGTTGTACTCCTGGCTGCCCTCGATCATGCCCGTCAGGGGGTTGTGGAACCACTCGCGGAACTCGCGGTGCGACTGGAACACGCTGGGCATGAGGAAGTGCATCAGCGACCACAGCTCCATCAGCGAGTTCTGCAGCGGCGTGCCCGTCAGCAGCAGCCGGCGCTGGCTGCAGGTGAGACGCAGGTGAGACACAGGTCAGGCACCTCCGGGAGCGAGTGACGAAATTTCGGGGCAAAAAAACGCCGATTTTGGGCAAAAAATTTGGTGTTTTTAGGGTTAAAAATGGAAATTTTGGACATCACAAAATGGCGGCACGTCCAGATCTGGAGAAGATCCTGGACACGTGAGACACAGGTGAGACACAGGTGAGACACAGATGAGACACCTCTGGGAGCAAGCGACAAAATTTCGGGGGAAAAAACGCCGATTTTGGGCAAAAAATTTGGAATTTTTAGGGTTAAAAATGGAAATTTTGGAGGTCGCAAAATGGCGGCACGTCCAGATCTAGAGAAGATCCTGGACAGGTGAGACACAGGTGAGACACAGGTGAGACGCAGGTGAGACGCAGGTCAGACACCTCTGGGAGCAAGTGACAAAATTTCGGGGCAAAAACCGCCGATTTTGGGCAAAAAATTTGGTGGTTTTAGGGTTAAAAATGGAAACTTTGGAAGTCGCAAAATGGCGGCACATCCGGATCTGGAGAAGATCCTGGACAGATGAGACACAGCTCAGACACAGGTGAGACGCAGGTGAGACAGAGGTCAGACACCTCTGGGAGCAAGCGACAAAATTTTGGGGCAAAAAACGCCGATTTTGGGCAAAAAAATTTGGAGTTTTTAGGGTTAAAAATGGAATTTTGACGGTTGGATGTGGAATTTTTGGAGGTCACAAAATGGCGGCACCTCCAGATCCGGAGAAGATCCTGAACAGGTGAGACACAGGTGAGACACAGGTGAGACACAGGTCAGGCACCTCTGGGGACAAGTGATAAAATTTTGGGTCAAAACCCACCGATTTTGGGGTGAAAAATTCGGAGGTTATAGGATAGGAAATGGAAATTTTGGAGGTCACAAAATGGCGGCCACCACCGCCATTTTGGTGGACTCGGGGGGACCTGGATAGGGGACACGATTTTGGGGTGAAAAATGAGTATTTTGGGGAAATAAAAATTAAAAATTGCGGGGAAAATGGAAATATTTGAGAAAAAAAAGTGGGAGTCCTTATGGTCGGAAATGGAATTTTTGGAGGTCACAAAATGGCGGCACCTCCGGATCTGGAAAAGGTCCTGAACAGGTGAGACACAGGTGAGACACAGGTGAGACAGAGGTGAGACACAGGTGAGGCATCTCTAGGGACAAGCAACAAAATTTTGGGGCAAAAAACGCCGATTTTGGGCAAAAAATTCAGAGGTTTTAGGGTTAAAAATCGGAATTTTGGAGGCCACAAAATGGCGGCACGTCCAGATCTGGAGAAGATCCTGGACAGGTGAGACACAGGTGAGACGCAGGTGAGACACAGGTGAGACACCTCTGGGAGCGAGTGACGAAATTTTGGGGCAAAAAACGCCGATTTTGGGCAAAAAATTCGGTGTTTTTAGGGTTAAAAATGGAAATTTTGGACATCACAAAATGACGGCATGTCCAGATCTGGAGAAGATCCTGGACAGGTCAAACACAGGTGAGACACAGGTGAGACACAGGTGAGACGCAGGTGAGGCATCTCTAGGGACAAACAACAAAATTTTGGGGCAAAAAACGCCGATTTTGGGCAAAAAATTCAGAGGTTTTAGGGTTAAAAATGGAATTTTTATGGTTGGAAATTCTGGAGCTCACAAAATGGCGGCAGCTCCAGCCAGGTAACAATCGGTATGGACGGGTACAGGTGTGCCCAGGTGTGTCTCAGGTGTATCCCAGGTGTGCCCAGGTGTGTCTCAGGTGTAACTGAGGTAACTCAGATGTGCCCAGGTGTGCCCAGGTGTATCTCAGGTGTGCCCAGGTGTGCCCAAGTGTGCCCAGGTGTGCCCAAGTGTGCCCAGGTGTGTCTCAGGTGTAACTGAGGTAACTCAGGTGTGCCCAGGTGTGCCCAGGTGTATCGCAGGTGTGCCCAGGTGTGTCTCAGGTGTATCCCAGGTGTACCCAGGTGCGTCCCAAGTAACTCAGGTGTATCCCAGGTGTGCCCAGGTGTGTCTCAGGTGTATCCCAGGTGTGCCCAGGTGTGTCCCAAGTAACTCAGGTGTATCGCAGGTGTGCTCAAGTGCGCCCAGGTGTACCCAGGTATGGTCCAGGTGTGCCCAGGTGTGCCCAGGTGTGTGTCAGGTGTATCCCAGGTGTGCCCAGGTGTGCTCAAGTGCGCCCAGGTGTATCCAGGTATGGTCCAGGTGTGCCCAGGTGTGCCCAGGTGTAAGTCAGGCGTGCCCAAGTACATCCCAGGTAACTCAGGTGTATCCCAGGTGTGTCCAGGTATGTTCTATGTGTACCTACACCCGCCCAAGTGTGCCCCAGGTGTGCCCAGGTGCACCCAGCTGTACGCCAGGAAACTCAAACGTGCCCAGGTGTGCCCAGGTAACCCCAAATTCCCATTTTTCACCCCAAATCCCCATTTTCACCCGAAAATCCCCATTTTTCACCCAAATCCCCATTTTTCACCCCAAATCCCCATTTTTCACCCCAAACCCCCATTTTTCACCCCAAATCCCATTTTCACCCGAAAATCCCATTTTCACCCAAAATCCCCAATTCCCTTTCTTCACCGAAAATCCCATTTTTCACCCCAAATCCCATTTTCCACCCAAATCCCCATTTTCCACCCCAACCCCATTTCACCCCATCCCATTTCACCCCGAATCCCCTTTTCCACCCCAAATCCCCATTTTTCACCCCAAATCCCCATTTTTCACCCCAAAATCCCCATTTTTCACCCCAAATCCCATTTTTCACCCCAAAATCCCATTTTTCACCCCAAATCCCCATTTTTGACCCCAAACCCCCATTTTTCACCCAAATTTCACGGGGTTTTTTTGCTCCATCCCCTCCCAGCTGTGCCCAGGTGTGCCCAAACCCCAATTTTCCCCCAATTTTCCCCAAATAATCCCCAAATTTCTCACTTTCCGCCATTCCAGCCCAGCAGTTTCCCCAAAACTTTCACCAATTTTTTCCCAATTCTCCCCAATTTTTCCCATTTTTTCTCGTTCTTTTCCATCCCAGCTGTGCCCAGATGTCCCAAACCCCAAATTTCCACCAATTCTCTTCCGATTTTCATCAATTTTCTCCAACTTCTCTCATTTTTGCTCACCCAGGCGTGCCAAAATCCCGATTTTCACAAATTTTCTCCAAATTTTTCCCCCATTTTTCCCTCCCCGGGTGTGCCCAGGTAACCCCAAAATCCCCATTTTTCACCCCAAATCCCATTTTTCACCCCAAAATCCCCATTTTTCACCCAAATTTCACGGGGTTTTTTCCTTTATCCCCTCCCAGCCGTGCCCAGCTGCCTAAACCCCCAATTTTCACCCATTCCCCCAATTTTCACCCATTTTCTCCCAATTTTCACCGTTTTTTTCCCTTTTTTTCCTCCCAGCCGTGCCAGCTGTGCCCAGGTAACCCCAAAACCCCCATTTTTCACCCCAAATCCCCATTTCTCACCCCAAAATCCCATTTCTCACCCAAATTTCACGGGGTTTTTTTGCTCCACCCCCTCCCAGCTGCGCCCAGGTGTGCCCAGATTATCCCAGGTGTTTTTCACCTACCCAGGTGTGCCCAGGTAACCCCAAAACCCCCATTTTTCACCCCGAATCCCCATTTCTCACCCCAAAATCCCCATTTCTCACCCAAATTTCACGGGGTTTTTTCCCCTTTATCCCCTCCCAGGTGTGCCCAGGTGTGCCCAGGTGTGCCCAGGGCTCACCTGTTGAAGTTGAGCAGGGACTGCCAGCGCTGGGATTTGAAGTTCTTGATGTTCTGCGCCTCGTCCAGGATCAGGTACTTCCAGTTCTTCCTGCGGAACGCCTGGTGGTCCTGCAGCACCAGCTTGTACGAGGTGATGCACACGTGGAACGCGTTGGGCTTGGTCCAGCCCTGCCCAGGTGAGACAGGTGAGACAGGTGAGGCAGGTGAGGAAAAAATCCCCGCAAAAAACGACCCAAAAACACCCAAAAAAAGGCCCAAAACCACTTAAAAACTCCAAAAATTCTCCAAAAAATTTCCAAAAAACAGCCCAGGTGTGCAGCACCAGCGCTGGGCTTGGTCCAGCCCTGCACAGGTGAGACAGGTGAGACAGGTGAGAAAAAATCCCCCGTTAAAAATGGCAAAAAAATGCCAGAAAAAGCTCAAAAACCCCCCAAAATCCTCAAAAACCCAGCCCAGGTGTGCCAGGTGTGCCCAGGTGTGCCCAGGTGTGCAGCACCAGCGCTGGGCTTGGTCCAGCCCTGCCCAGGTGAGACAGGTGAGGAAAAAATCCCCATTAAAAACGGCCAAAAACACCCAAAAAATGGCCCAAAAACGCTTAAAAACTCCAAAAATTCTCCAAAAATTTCCAAAAAACAGCCAGGTGTGCAGCACCAGCGCTGGGCTTGGTCCAGCCCTGCACAGGTGAGACAGGTGAGACAGGTGAGGGAAAAATCCCCATTAAAAACAGCGCAAAAACACCTGAAAAATTCAAAAAAAATTTTAAAAAAATTAAAAAAAAAATTTTAAAAAATCCCCAAAACCCTCCAAAATCCAGCCCAGGTGTGCCCAGGTGTGCCCAGGTGTGCCCAGGTGTGCAGCACCAGCGCTGGGCTTGGTCCAACCCTGCCAGGTGAGACAGGTGAGAAAACAATCCCCATTAAAAATGGCAGAAAAAAGCCAAAAAAAGCTCAAAAAAACCCCAAAAATGAGAAAAAAAATTTTAAAAAATCAAAAATAAAATAAAAAACTAGCCCAGGTGTGCCCAGGTGTGCAGCACCAGCGCTGGGCTTGGTCCAGCCCTGCCAGGTGAGGCAGGTGAGGAAAAAATCCCCACGAAAAACGGCAAAAAAATGCCAAAAAGAGCTCAAAAAAACCCCCCAAAAATCAGAAAAAAATTAAAAAAAAATCAAAAATAAAATAAAAATCCAGCCCAGGTGTGCCCAGGTGTGCCCAGGTGTGCAGCACCAGCGCTGGGCTTGGTCCAGCCCTGCCCAGGTGAGACAGGTGAAACAGGTAGGGAAAAAATTCCGGCAAAAATTGGTCAAAAATGCCAAAAAAAGCTCAAAAAAACCCCCAAAAAATCAGAAAAAGGTTTCAAAAAATCGAAAATAAAATAAAAACCCAGCCCAGCTGTGCCCAGGTAACCCCAAAATCCCCATTTTTCACCCCAAAATCCCCATTTTTCACCCAAATCTCACAGGTTTTATTTGCTTTATCCCCTCCCAGCTGTGCCCAGGTGTGCCCAGGTAACCCCAAATCCCATTTCTCACCCCAAAATCCCCATTTTTCACCCCAAATCCCATTTTTCACCCCAAATCCCCATTTCTCACCCCAAAATCCCCATTTCTCACCCCAAATCCCCATTTTTCACCCCAAAATCCCCATTTTTCACCCCAATCTCACGGGGTTTTTTGCGTTCACCCCCTCCCAGCCGTGCCCAGGTGTGCCCAGGTGTGCCCAGGTGTGCCCAGGTGTGCCCCCACCTGTCTCTTGAGGCGCCGCTCCTTCTGCGCCCCGTAGTAGGTGAGGATCTTGAAGCTGGGGCACCAACGCTTGAGCTCCATCTCCCAGTTGAGCATCACCGAGGTGGGCACGATGATCAGGTGAGGGCCCCAGCTACCTGTGCGCAGGTGAGGGACAGGTGAGACACCCCAAAAGGGGCTCAGGAACCCCAAAACCTGCCCAGGTGTGACTCAGAACCCCCAAAAGAGGCTCAGGTGAGGGCCCCAGCTACCTGTGGCCAGGTGAGGGACAGGTGAGACACCCCAGAAAGGGCTCAGGAACCCCAAAACCTGCCCAGGTGTGACTCAGAACCCCCAAACCTGCCCAGGTGAGTCCTGGGAACCCCAAACCTGCCCAGGTGAGGCCCCAGCTGCCTGTGCCCCGGTGAGACACCCCAGAATGGGCTCAGGAACCCCCAAACCTGCCCAGGTGTGACTCAAAGGGGCTCAGGTGAGTCCTGGGAGCCCCCAAACCTGCCCAGGTGAGTCCTGGGAACCCCAAACCCGCCCAGGTGAGGCCCCAGCTACCTGTGGCCAGGTGAGACACCCCAAAAAGGGCTCAGGTGAGTCCTGGGAGCCCCCAAACCTGCCCAGGTGAGGCCCCAGCTACCTGTGCCCGGGTGAGGGACAGGTGAGACACCCCAAAAAGGGCTCAGGAACCCCCAAACCTGCCCGGGTGTGACTGAGAACCCCCTGAAGGGGCTCAGGTACATCCCAAACCTGCCCAGGTGTGGCTCAAAGGGGCTCAGGTGAGTCCTGGGAACCCCCAAACCCGCCCAGGTGAGTCCTGGGAGCCCCCAAACCCGCCCAGGTGAGTCCTGGGAACCCCAAACCTGCCCAGGTGAGTCCTGGGAACCCCAAACCTGCCCAGGTGAGTCCTGGGAACCCCAAACCTGCCCAGGTGAGTCCTGGGAACCCCAAACCTGCCCAGGTGAGTCCTGGGAGCCCCCAAACCTGCCCAGGTGAGGCCCCAGCTACCTGTGGCCAGGTGAGACACCCCAAAAAGGGCTCAGGTGAGTCCTGGGAACCCCCAAACCTGCCCAGGTGAGGGCCCAGCTACCTGTGCCCGGGTGAGGGACAGGTGAGACACCCCAAAAAGGGCTCAGGAACCCCCAAACCTGCCCAGGTGTGACTCAAAGGGGCTCAGGTGAGTCCTGGGAGCCCCCAAACCTGCCCAGGTGAGTCCTGGGAACCCCAAACCTGCCCAGGTGAGTCCTGGGAACCCCAAACCTGCCCAGGTGAGGCCCCAGCTACCTGTGCCCAGGTGAGACACAGGTGAGACACCCCAAGAAGGGCTCGGCTGAGCCCTGGGAACCCCCAAACCTGCCCAGGTGGGACAGAGAACCCCCAAACCTGCCCAGGTGAGGCCCCAGCTACCTGTGGCCAGGTGAGGGACAGGTGAGACACCCCAAAATGGGCTCAGGTGAGCCCTGGGAACCCCCAAACCCGCTCAGGTGTGTTCCAGGTGTATCTCAGGCGTGCCCAGGCGTACCCTGGAAATAGTCAGGTGTACCTGAGGTGTATCCAGCTGTGCCCAGGTGTAGCCAGGTGTATCCCAGGTGTGTCCCACAGGTGAGTTACCTTTCTCGCAGGCCAGGTGAGCGAGGAGCGATATTGTCTGGATGGTTTTGCCCAGCCCCACCCCAGGTGTGTATTACCAGTCTCAGGTGTATCCCAGGTGTAGGTAATGACTCCCAGGTGTATCCCAGGTGTGCCCAGGTGTGTGATTACCTTTCCCGCAGGCCAGGTGAGCGAGCAGCGAGATGCTCTGGATGGTTTTGCCCAGCCCCACCCCAGGTGTGTATTACCAGTCTCAGGTGTATCCCAGGTGTATATAATGACTCTCAGGTGTATGCCATCGCTCTCAGGTGTATCCCAGGTGTGTCCCACAGGTGAGTTACCTTTCTCACATACCAGGTGAGCGAGGAGCGAGATGCTCTGGATGGTTTTGCCCAGCCCTGTCCCAGGTGTGTATTACCAGTCTCAGGTGTATCCCAGGTGTAGGCAATGACTCCTAGGTGTATCCCAGGTGTGTCCCACAGGTGAGTTACCTTTCTCGCAGGCCAGGTGAGCCAGCAGCGATATTGTCTGGATGGTTTTGCCCAGCCCCATCCCAGGTGTGCACAATGACTCTCAGGTGCATGCCATCGCTCTCGGGTGTATCCCAGGTGTGCCCAGGTGTGTGATTACCTTTCTCGCAGGCCAGGTGAGCCAGCAGCGATATTGTCTGGATGGTTTTGCCCAGCCCTGTCCCAGGTGTGTATTATCAGTCTCAGGTGTATCCCAGGTGTAGGCAATGACTCCTAGGTGTATCCCAGGTGTATCCCAGGTGTGCCCAGGTGTGTGATTACCTTTCTCGCAGGCCAGGTGAGCCAGCAGCGAGATGGTCTGGATGGTTTTGCCCAGCCCTGTCCCAGGTGTGTATTATCAGTCTCAGGTGTATCCCAGGTGTAGGCAATGACTCCTAGGTGTATCTCAGGTGTATCCCAGGTGTGCCCAGGTGTGTCATTACCTTTCTCGCAGGCCAGGTGAGCCAGCAGCGAGATGCTCTGGATGGTTTTGCCCAGCCCCATCCCAGGTGTGCACAATGACTCTCAGATGTATGCCATCACTCTCGGGTGTATCCCAGGTGTGCCCAGGTGTGTCCCACAGGTGAGTTACCTTTCTCGCAGGCCAGGTGAGCCAGCAGCGAGATGCTCTGGATGGTTTTGCCCAGCCCCCTCCCAGGTGTGCACAATGACTCTCAGGTGTATGCCATCGCTCTCGGGTGTATCCCAGGTGTATCCCAGGTGTGCCCAGGTGTGTAATTACCTTTCTCACAGCCCAGGTGAGCGAGCAGCGATATTGTCTGAATGGTTTTGCCCAGCCCCATCCCAGGTGTGCACAATGACTCTCAGGTGTATGCCATCGCTCTCAGGTGTATCCCAGGTGTGCCCAGGTGTGTGATTACCTTTCTCGCAGGCCAGGTGAGCCAGCAGCGATATTGTCTGGATGGTTCTGCCCAGCCCTGTCCCAGGTGTGTATTACCAGTCTCAGGTGTATCCCAGGTGTAGGCAATGACTCCTAGGTGTATCCCAGGTGTGCCCAGGTGTGCCCAGGTGTGTGATTACCTTTCTCACAGCCCAGGTGAGCCAGCAGCGAGATGCTCTGGATGGTTTTGCCCAGCCCCGTCCCAGGTGTATCCCATGTGTACACAATGACTCTCAGGTGTATGCCATCGCTCTCAGGTGTATCCCAGGTGTGTCCCACAGGTGAGTTACCTTTCTCGCAGGCCAGGTGAGCGAGGAGCGATATTGTCTGGATGGTTTTGCCCAGCCCCATCCCAGGTGTGCACAATGACTCTCAGGTGTATGCCATCACTCTCGGGTGTATCCCAGGTGTGCCCAGGTGTGTGATTACCTTTCTCGCAGGCCAGGTGAGCCAGCAGCGATATTGTCTGGATGGTTTTGCCCAGCCCTGTCCCAGGTGTGTATTATCAGTCTCAGGTGTATCCCAGGTGTAGGCAATGACTCCTAGGTGTATCTCAGGTGTGCCCAGGTGTGCCCAGGTGTGTGATTACCTTTCTCGCAGGCCAGGTGAGCCAGCAGCGAGATGCTCTGGATGGTTTTGCCCAGCCCCCTCCCAGGTGTGCACAATGACTCTCAGGTGTATGCCATCGCTCTCGGGTGTATCCCAGGTGCATCCCAGGTGTGCCCAGGTGTGTGATTTCCTTTCTCACAGGCCAGGTGAGCGAGCAGCGATACTGTCTGGATGGTTTTGCCCAGCCCCGTCCCAGGTGTGTATTACCAGTCTCAGGTGTATCCCAGGTGTAGGCAATGACTCCCAGGTGTATCCCAGGTGTGCCCAGGTGTGCCCAGGTGTGTGATTACCTTTCTCGCAGGCCCAGGTGAGCCAGCAGCGATACTGTCTGGATGGTTTTGCCCAGCCCCATCCCAGGTGTGCACAATGACTCCCAGGTGTATATAATCACTCTCAGGTGTATCCCAGGTGTGTCCCACAGGTGAGTTACCTTTCTCGCAGGCCAGGTGAGCGAGGAGCGATATGGTCTGGATGGTTTTGCCCAGCCCCATCTCGTCGGCCAGGATCCCGTTCAGCTTCTTCTCGTACATGGTCACCAGCCAGTCCAGCCCGATGTGCTGGTACTCGCGGAGCGTGCCCCGCAGCAGGTGAGGGATCGGCGTCTTCACCTGCCCAGGTGAGGCACAGGTGAGCGAAACAACCCCCCGAACCCTCAGGTGCGTCGCAGGTACCCCCACGGTCACCGGCCAATCCGATCCAACGTGCTGCTACTCAGGTACCTCGCAACAGGTGAGGGATCGGCGTCTTCACCCGCCCAGGTGTGGCACAGGTGCGTCTGGGTGTGCCCAGGTGACCCCAAAACCCCGTTTCTCACCCCAAATCCCCATTAACCCCAAAATCCTTGGTTTTAAGCCAAATTTCACGGGTTTTTTTGTTGCTTTTCCCCTCCCAGCCGTGCCCAGGTGTGCCCAGGTCTACACAGGATGTATCTCAGGGTGTTTTACCTGCCCAGGTACCCCCAGGTGTGCCCAGGTAACCCCAAATCCCCATTTTTCACCCCAAATCCCCATTTTTCACCCCAAAATCCTCATTTTTCACCCAAATTCCACGGGGTTTTTTTTTTCCTTTATCCCCTCCCAGCTGTGCCCAGCTGTGCCCAGGTGTGCCCAGGTGCGTTTCACCTGCCCAGGTGTGCCCTCACCTGCGTCGTTGCCAACATGTACCCTTTGGGTTGCAGGTTCTGTGTGTGCTCAGGGAACCCCAAATCCCCATTTTTCACTCCAAAATCCCCATTTTCCACCCAAATTTCACGGGGTTTTTTCCCTTTATCCCCTCCCAGCCGTGCCCAGGTGTGCCCAGGTAACCCCAAAATCCCATTTTTAACCCCAAAAATCCTCATTTCCCACCCAAATTTCACGGGGTTTTTTTGGTCCATTCCCTCCCAGCCGTGCCCAGGTGTGTCCAGATAACCCCAAATCCCCATTTTTCGCCCCAAAATCCCCATTTTTCACCCCAAAATCCCCATTTTTCACCCCAAATCCCCATTTTCCACCCAAATTTCACGGGGTTTTTTTCCCTTTATCCCCTCCCAGCCGTGCCCAGGTGTGCCCAGGTGTGCCCAGGTGTGCCCGGGCGTGCCCTCACCTGCGTGGTTGCCAGCGTGTACCCTTTCGGTTGGAGGCTCTCGGCCGCCGCCGCGATGTCGCTGATCTCCTTCTTGGGGGCGGGGCCTCCCCCCGCGGGCGCCGCCGGCCCCGCCCCCTCGGCCCCGCCCGCCTGGGCGGGTGCGGGCGGGGCGGCCACGCCCACCTCGCCCGGCTCCTCCCCCGGGCCGGGGGCCGCGGCCACGCCCCCCTCCTGCCCCTCCCCCTCCTCGTCCTCCTCCTCGTCGTCGGCTTCGTCGTCGTCATCGTCGTCGTCGTCGTCGTCGTCGTCATCGTCGCTGCCAGGTGAGTCTGGAACGGACAGGTGAGGTCAGGGCTGGTGGGGGAGGGGCCTGGGGGGGGGTTTGGGGCACCTGGGAGGGGTTTGGAGCACACCTGGATAGGTGTGGGATACCTGAGAGGGGTTTAGAGCACACCTGGACAGGTGTGATGTACCTGGGAGGGGTTTGGAGCACACCTGGACAGGTGTGATGTACCTGGGAGGAGTTCCCAGCACACCTAGACAAATATAGGGCACACCTGGACAGGTGTGATGTACCTGAGAGGGGTTTGGAGCACACCTGGACAGGTGTGATGTACCTGGGAGGAGTTCCCAGCACACCTAGACAAGTATAGGGCACAGCTGGACAGGTGTGGGATACCTGAGAAGGGTTTAGAGCACACCTGGACAGGTGTGATGTACCTGGGAGGAGTTCCCAGCACACCTAGACAAGTATAGGGCACACCTGGACAGGTGTGATGTACCTGGAAGGGGTTTGGAGCACACCTGGAAAGGTGTGATGCACCTGGGAGGGGTTCAGAGCACACCTGGACATGTGTGATGCACCTGGGAGGGGTTTGGAGCACACCTGGACAGGTGTGATGCACCTGGGAGGGGTTTAGAGCACACCTGGAAAGGTGTGATGCACCTGGGAGGGGTTCGGAGCACACCTGGACAGGTGTGGGATACCTGGGAGAGGTTTGGGGTACCTGGGAGGGGTTTGGAGCACACCTGGACAGGTGTGATGCACCTGGGAGGGGTTCGGAGCACACCTGGACAGGTGTGGGATAACTGGGAGAGGTTTAGAGCACACCTGGACAGGTATGATGTACCTGGGAGGGGTTTGGAGCACACCTGGACAGGTGTGGGACACCTGGGAGGGGTTTGGAGCACACCTGGACAGGTGTGATGTACCTGGGAGGGGTTTAGAGCACACCTGGACAGGTGTGGGATACCTGGGAAGGGTTTGGAGCACACCTGGACAGGTGTGATGTACCTGGGAGGGGTTCGGAGCACACCTGGACAGGTGTGATGCACCTGGGAGGGGCTTGGGGCACCTGGGAGGGGTTTAGAGCACACCTGGACAGGTGTGAGATACCTGGGAGGGGTTTGGGGTACCTGGGAGGGGTTTAGAGCACACCTGGACAGGTGTGGGATACCTGGGAGGGGTTTGGAGCACACCTGGACAGGTGTGATGTACCTGGGAGGGGTTCGGAGCACACCTGGACAGGTGTGAGATACCTGGGAGGGGTTTGGGGTACCTGGGAGGGGTTTAGAGCACACCTGGACAGGTGTGGGGCACACCTGGACAAGTATCGGGCACATCTGGACAGGTGTGAGATACCTGGGAGGGGTTCCCACCACACCTGGACAGGTATAGAATACCTGGGCAGGTATGCAGCACACCAAGACAAATATGGGGCACACCTGGACAGGTGCAGAACACACCTGAGTGAGGATTCAGGTACCTGAGTGGGACTTGGGGGGTCTGGGACACCTAGATGAGATTTGGAGCACACCTGGACAGGTGTGGGATATGTGGGAGGGGTTCCCAGCACACCTGGACAGGTGTGGGGCACACCTGGACAGGTGTGGGGTACCTGGGAGGGGTTTGGGGCACCTGGGAGGGGTTTGGAGCACACCTGGAAAGGTGTGAGGTACCTGGGAGGAGTTCCCAGCACACCTAAACAGGTATAGGGCACACCTGGACAGGTGTGGGGTACCTGGGAGGGATTTGGAGCACACCTGGAAATGTATGGAGCACACCTGGGCAGGTGTGGGATACCTGGGGGGGGCTTGGGGCACCTGGGAGGGGTTTGGAGCACACCTGGACAGGTGTGAGATACCTGGGGGGGGTTTGGGAAACCTGGGAGCAGTTCAGACCACACCTGGGCAGATGTGGAGCACACCTGGACAGGTATGGAGCACACCTGGACAGCTATGGGGTAACTGGGACGGGTTTGGGATACCTGGCAGAGATTCCTAGCACACCTGGACAGGTGTGGGGCACACCTGGACAGGTATGGGGCACACCTGGACAGGTGTGGGGCACCTGGGAGGGGTTTGGAGCGCACCTGGACAGGTATGGAATACCTGGAAGAAGTTTAACGCACACCTGGATGAGGCTTAGAGCACACCTGGACAGGTGTGGGGTAACTGGGAGGGGTTTGCGATACCTGGGAGAGATTCCCAGCACACCTGGACAGGTGTGGGGCACACCTGGGCAGGTGTCAGGTACCTGGGAGGGGTTTGGACCCCACCTGGAAAGGTATGGAGCACACCTGGACAGGTGTAGACCACCTGAGAGAGGTTGCTAACACACCTGGAGGAGGCTTAGAGCACACCTGGACAGGCGGGGGATACCTGAGAGGGGTTTGGGGCACCTGGGAGGGGTTTGGAGCACACCTGGACAGGTGCGGGATACCTGGGAAAGGCTTAGAGCGCACCTGGATGAGGTTCAGGACACACCTGGACAGGTGTGAGGTACCTGGCAGGGGTTTCTAACACACCTGGACAGGTGTGGGACACCTGGGAGGAGTTCCCAGCACACCTGGATGAGTGTGGGAGCAGCCCGAGCAGATACAGTCACACCTGAGCAGGTACAGTCACACCTATAGAGGTACAGCCACGCCTGAGCTCACCTGTGCAGGTACAGTCACACCTGTAGAGGTACAGCCACGCCTGTGCAGGTACAGACACACCTGAACAGGTACAGTCACACCTGAGCTCACCTGTGCAGGTACAGTCACACCTGAGCAGGTACACCCACACCTGGTCACACCTGAGCGGGTACAGTCACACCTGAGCTCACCTGTGCAGGTACAGTCACACCTGTAGAGGTACAGTCACACCTGTGCAGGTACAGACACACCTGAGCGGGTACAGTCACACCTGAGCTCACCTGAACAGGTACAGTCACACCTGAGCAGGTACACCCACACCTGGTCACACCTGAGCGGGTACAGTCACACCTGAGCTCACCTGAGCAGGTACAGTCACACCTGTAGAGGTACAGTCACACCTGTGCAGGTACAGTCACACCTGAGCTCACCTGAGCAGGTACAGTCACACCTGTAGAGGTACAGTCACACCTGTGCAGGTACAGTCACACCTGAGCTCACCTGAGCAGGTACAGTCACACCTGTAGAGGTACAGTCACACCTGTGCAGGTACAGACACACCTGAGCAAGTACAGTCACACCTGAGCTCACCTGTGCAGGTACAATCACACCTGAGCAGGTACACCCACACCTGGTCACACCTGAGCGGGTACAGTCACACCTGAGCTCACCTGTGCAGGTACAGTCACACCTAAGCAGATACAGACACACCTGAGCGGGTACAGTCACACCTGAGCTCACCTGTGCAGGTACAATCACACCTGTACACGTACAGATACACCTGGACCAGTACAGACACACCTGTGCAGGTACAATCACAGCTGTGCACGTACAGTCACACCTGAACATAAACAGACACACCTGAGCAGGTACAGACACGCCTCTACAGGTACATTCACACCTGTGCAGGTACACCCACACCTGTGCAAGTACACTCACACCTGTACAGGTACACTCAGACCTGTACAGGTACACCCACACCTGGCCACACCTGTACACCCACACCCGGCCTCACCTGTACTGTCACACCCACACCTGGCCACACCTGTACTGTCACACCCACACCTGGCCACACCTGTACACCCACACCCGGCCTCACCTGTACTGTCACACCCACACCCGGCCTCACCTGTACTGTCACACCCACACCTGGCCACACCTGTACTGTCACACCCACACCTGGCCACACCTGTACTGTCACACCCACACCCGGCCTCACCTGTACTGTCACACCCACCCCCGGCCTCACCTGTACTGTCACACCCACACCTGGCCTCACCTGAGCGGGTGCTGCTGGCGCCGGGGGCGGAGTCGCAGTCGGAGTCGGCGAAGGCGCCGCGGTAACGCTGGAGCAGCTCCTCCATGGGCAGCGCACCTGCAACACACCTGGGTTACACCTGGAGTACACCTGAAACACACCTGGGGACACCTGGGGACACCTGAGATACACCTGGGATACACCTGGGGACACCTGGGGACACCTGGAATACACCTGAAATACACCTGGGGACACCTGAGATACACCTGGGATACACCTGGGGACACCTGGAATACACCTGGGGTACACCTGGGGTACGCCTGAGACACACCTGGGATACATGAGATACACCTGGGGACACCTGGGGACACCTGGAATACACCTGGAGTACACCTGAGATACACCTGGGGACACCTGAGATACACCTGGGGGCACCTGGGGACACCTGGGGACACCTGGAATACACCTGGGATACACCTGAAACACACCTGGGGTACATGAAATACACCTGGGATACACCTGGGATACACCTGGGGGCACCTGAGATACACCTGGGTTACACCTGGGGTACACCTGAAACACACCTGGGGTACATGAGATACACCTGGGGACACCTGGGGACACCTGGAATACACCTGGAGTACACCTGAGATACACCCGGGCTACCTGAGATACACCTGGGGAACATCTGAGACACCTGAAATGCACCTGAGCGGCTAAACACAACTGCGACACACCTGGGGTTGCACCTGGGGTACCTGAGATACCTGAGATCCACCTGAGATACATCTGAATTACACCTAAGATACACCTGAGATACACCTGAGATACACCTGAGAGCACCTGGGGACACCTGGGAGTCATTTTGTGGCACCTGGGACGCATCTGAGATACACCTGGGGACACCTGAGAGACACCTGGGGACACCTGGGACACACCTGGGGTTACACCTGGGATACACCTGAGATACACCTAGGATACACCTGGAAACACCTGAGATACCTGAGATACACCTGGGATACACCTGGGGGCACCTGAGATACCTAAAATACACCTGAGATCCACCTGGAGCAGCAGCTCCTCCATGGGCAGCGCGCCCGGAACACACCTGGGTTACACCTGGGTTACACCTGAGTTACACCTGGGATACACCTGGGGGACCTGAAACACACCTGGGATACACCTGGGTTACACCTGAGAGCACCTGGGGGCACCTGGGGTTATCTGAGAGCACCTAAAACACACCTGGAGTACACCTGGGCTCACCTGGGGACACCTGATACACCTGAGATACACCTGGGGGACCTGGGATACACCTGGGGACACTTGGGGGCACCTGAGATACCTCAAATACACCTGGGTTACACCTGGGATACACCTGGGATACACCTGGGTTACACCTGGGATACACCTGGGATACACCTGAGATACACCTGAGTTACACCTGGGTTACATCTGGGGGACCTGAAACACACCTGGGGCTACACCTGGGGTACCTGAGACACCTGAGATACACCTGGGATACACCTGAGATACACCTGGGATACACCTGGGACACACCTGGGATGCACCTGAGATACACCTGGGATACACCTGAGATACACCTGAGATACACCTGGGATACACCTGAGATACACCTGGGACACACCTGGGACACACCTGGGTTACACCTGAGATACACCTGGGACACACCTGGGACACACCTGGGTTACACCTGAGATACACCTGGGACACACCTGGGATACACCTGGGTTACACCTGGGACACACCTGGGTTACACCTGAGATACACCTGGGATACACCTGGGACACACCTGGGACACACCTGAGATACACCTGGGACACACCTGGGACACACCTGAGATACACCTGGGATACACCTGGGACACACCTGGGATACACCTGGGTTACACCTGAGATACACCTGGGATACACCTGGGACACACCTGGGTTACACCTGAGATACACCTGGGACACACCTGGGTTACACCTGGGACACACCTGAGATACACCTGAAATACACCTGAGTTACACCTGGGATACACCTGAGATACACCTGAGTTACACCTGGGGGACCTGAAACACACCTGGGGCTACACCTGGGGTACCTGAGACACCTGAGATACACCTGGGATACACCTGGGTTACACCTGGGATACACCTGGGACACACCTGGGATGCACCTGAGATACACCTGGGATACACCTGAGATACACCTGGTTTACACCTCGGTTACACCTGGTTTACACCTGGGATACACCTGAGACACACCTGGGGACACACCTGGGGATTTTGGGATCATTTTTGGTAAATTTTGGGTCATTTTTAAGATTTTTTTTTTTGTTTTTTTTTAATACTTTACGGCATTTTTCTGTATTTTGAATTAATTTTGAATTAATTTTGAATTAATTTTGGGCAATTTTGGGTCATTTTTGGTTTTAGAGCCAACTTTGAATTAATTTTGAATTAATTTCGGGTGAATTTCGGGCGATTTTGGGTAATTTTGGGTTTCAGGGCCAATTTTGAATTAACTTTGAGAGAACTTTGGGTGAATTTTGGGTGATTTTGGGTCTTTTTGGGTTTTTGGGCCAATTTTGAATTAATTTTGGGTGATTTTGGGTCATTTTGGGTTTTAGGGCCAATTTTGAATTAATTTTGGGTGAATTTTGGGTGATTTTGGGTCTTTTTGGGTTTTAGGGCCAATTTTGAATTAATTTTGAATTCATTTTGGGTGAACTTTGGGCGATTTTGGGTTTTAGGGCCAATTTTGAATTAATTTTGGGTGAATTTTGGGCGATTTTGGGTCTTTTTGGGTTTTAGGGCCAATTTTGAATTAATTTTGAATTCATTTTGGGTGAACTTCAGGCGATTTTGGGTTTTAGGGCCAATTTTGAATTAATTTTGGGTGAATTTTGGGTGATTTTGGGTCTTTTTGGGTTTTAGGGCCAATTTTGAATTAATTTTGGGTGAATTTTGGGCGATTTTGGGTCATTTTGGGTTTTAGGGCAAATTTTGGGTCATTTTGGCATTTTAGGGCCAATTTTGGATTTTTCAGAGCCAATTTTTGGTCATTTGGGACCAATTTTGGGTCATTTAGGGGCATTTCAATGGGATTTCTTTGCACTTTTAGGCATTTTTCTGTATTTTGGGGAATTTTGGGTGAATTTTGGGTGATTTTGGGTCTCTCACCCTCCCTGCCAAACTCATCCAGCTCCTGCTCAGGGTTTTGGGGTATTTTGGATGATTTTGGGCCTTTTAAGGCGAATTTTGAAGTGTTTCAATGGGGTTTTTTCCTCTTTTAAAAGGATTTTTTATATTTTTGGTGTTTTTCTGTATTTTGGGTGATTTTGGGTCTCTCACCCTCCCTGCCCAGCCCATCCAGCTCCTGCCCAGGATTTTGGTGTTTTTTGGATGATTTTGGGCTATTTCAGGTGAATTTTGGGGCATTTTTAGGGTTTTTTTCCTCTTTTTAAAGGATTTTTTGTATTTTTGGTGTTTTTCTGTATTTTGGGTGATTTTGGGTCTCTCACCCTCCCTGCCAAACTCATCCAGCTCCTGCTCATGGTTTTGGGGTATTTTGGATGATTTTGGGCTATTTCAGGTGAATTTTAGGGCAATTTTATGAGGTTTTTTTCTCTTTTTAAAGGAAATTTTGTATTTTTGGTGTTTTTCTGTATTTTGGGGTGATTTTTGATGATTTTGGGTCTCTCACCCTACCTGCCCAGCTCATCCAGCCCCTGCTCAGGGTTTTGGGGCATTTTGGGCTGTTTCAGGTGAATTTTGGGGGATTTTTATGGGATTTCCTTCGATTTCTAGAAATTTTTTTATATTTTTTCACATTTTTCTGTATTTTGGGGTAATTTTGGGTGATTTTGGGTCCCTCACCCTCCCTGCCCAACTCATCCACCTCCTGCTCAGGGTTTTGGGGTATTTTGGATGATTTTGGGCTATTTCAGGTGAATTTTGGGGCATTTTTAGGGTTTTTTTCCTCTTTTTAAAGGATTTTTTGTATTTTTGGTGTTTTTCTGTATTTTGGGTGATTTTGGGTCTCTCACCCTCCCTGCCCAACTCATCCACCTCCTGCTCAGGGTTTTGGGGTATTTTGGATGATTTTGGGCTATTTCAGGTGAATTTTGGGGCATTTTTAGGGTTTTTTTTCCCTCTTTTTAAAGGATTTTTTGTATTTTTGGTGTTTTTCTGTATTTTGGGGTGATTTTGGGTCCCTCACCCTCCCTGCCAAACTCATCCAGCTCCTGCTCAGGGTTTTGGGGCGTTTTGGGCTGTTTCAGGTGAACTTTGGGTGATTTTTATGGGATTTTCTCCAATTCTTAGAAATTTTTTTTGTATTTTTTCACATTTTTCTGTATTTTGGGGTAATTTCGGGTGATTTTGGGTCACTCACCCTCCCTGCCCAACTCATCCACCTCCTGCTCAGGGTTTGGGGTATTTTGGATGATTTTGGGCTGTTTCAGGTGAATTTTGGGGTATTTTTATGGGGTTTTTTCCAATTTTTAGAGGATTTTTTTTTGCATTTTGGGCTATTTTGGGGTAATTTTGGGTGATTTTGGGTCTCTCACCCTCCCTGCCAAACTCATCCAGCCCCTGCTCAGGGTTTTGGGGCATTTTGGGCTGTTTCAGGTGAATTTTGGGTGATTTTATGGGACTTTCTCCAATTTCTAGAGATTTTTTTGTAGTTTTTCAAATTTCTCTGTATTCTGGGGTAATTTTGGGTGAATTTTGGGTGATTTTGGGTCTCTCACCCTCCCTGCCAAACTCATCCAGCCCCTTCTCAGGGTTTTGGGGCATTTTGGGCTATTTCAGCCGTAATTTTGGATATTTTTATGGGGTTTTTTTTCGTGTTTTTGGCACGTTTCTGTATTTTGGGTTCCTTTTGGGTGAAATCCAGGTGATTTTGGGTCACTCACCCTCCCTGGCCAGGTCGTCCAGCTCCTGCTGGTGATCGACATCGCCCTCCAGGCGCTCCTGGGCCGCGATCGTGTCCTCCTCATCCTCACCTGGCACAGGAGACACAAAAACGGCACCAAAATGGGCAAAAACGGCCAAAAACGACCGAAACGGCGCCAAAATGGGCAAAAAGGGCAGAAAATGGTAAAAAAATGGCGCCAAAATGGCCCAAAATGGCACCAAATGAAGATAAAATGGCCAAAAGTGGCAGCAAATTGCAGCAAATGGAACCAAAATGGCCCCAAAATTATAAAAAATGTCGAAAAACGGCAAAAACGGCACAAAAATGGTCAAAAATGGCCAACGATGGCACCAAAATGGGCAGAAATGGCCCCAAAATGGCCAAAAATGGTCAAAAACAGCACCAAAATGACAAAAAATGGCACCAGGATGACAAAAAATGGCACCAAAATGGCCAAAAATGGACAAAAATGCCATCAAAGTGACAAAAAATTGGCACTAAATTGGCCAAAAACGGCACCAAAATGACAAAAAACAGCAGAAAATGGAACCAAAATGGCCGAAAATGGCACAAATTGGCAACAAATGGAACTAAAATGGCACCAAATGGAGCAAAACGCAACAAGTTGAACAAAAATGGCCAAAAATGGCACCAAAATGTCAAAAAATGGCAGAAAATGGCACCAAAATCACCAAATATGGCAGCAAATTGACAAAAGTAGCCAAAAAGAGACCAAAACGGTGCCAAATTGCAGCCAATGGAACCAAAATTACAAAAAACAGCAAAAAATGGAACCAAAATGGCGGAAAATGGCACCAAAATGGCACCAAAATGGCACCAAAATGGAACCAAATGGAACTAAAATGGCACCAAATGGAGCAAAACGCAACAAATTGAACAAAAATGGCCAAAAATGGCACCAAAATGTCAAAAAAATGGCAGAAAATGGCACCAAAATCACCAAAAATGGCACAAATTGGCATTCAATGGCACAAAGTGCAGCAAATTCAACAAAAATGACACAAAAATGGACAAAAATGGCAGAAAATGGCACCAAAGTGGCACCAAATGGAACAAAAATGGCACCAAATGGAGCAAAACGCAACAAATTGAATAAAAATGGCCAAAACTGGCACCAAAATGGCCAAAAATGGCAGAAAATGGTGAAAAATGGCACCAAAATGTCAAAAAATGGCAGAAAATGGAAACAAAATCACCAAAAATGGCAGCAAATTGGCATTCAATGGCACAAAGTGCAGCAAATTCAACAAAAATGACACAAAAATGGACAAAATGGCGAAAAATTGGCCCAAAATGGCTGAAAATGGCATAAAATGGAACTAAAATGGCACCAAATGGAGCAACATGCAACGAATTGAACAAAAATGGCCAAAAATGGCAGCAAAATGTCAAAAAATGGCAGAAAGTGGCACCAAAATCACCAAAAATGGCACAAATTGGCACCAAATGGCACAAAGTGCAACAAATTCAACAAAAATGACACAAAAATGGACAAAAATGGCAGAAAATGGCACCAAAGTGGCACCAAATGGAACCAAAATGGCACCAAATGGAGCAAAATGCAGCAAATTGAATAAAAATGGCCAAAACTGGCACTAAAATGGCCAAAAATGGCAGAAAATGGCACCAAAATGTCAAAAAATGGCAGAAAATGGAACCAAAATCACCAAAAATGGCACAAAGTGCAGCAAATTGAACAAAAATGACACAAAAATGGACAAAAATGGCAAAAAATGGCTGAAAATGGCATCAAATGGAACTAAAATGGCACCAAATGGAGCAACATGCAACGAATTGAACAAAAACGGCCAAAAATGGCACCAAAATGTCAAAAAATGGCCCAAAATGGCACCAAAATCACCAAAAATGGCAGCAAATTGGCACCAAATGGCAAAGTGCAGCAAATTGATCAAAAATGACACAAAAATGGACAAAATGGCGAAAAATTGGCCCAAAATGGCACCAAATGGAACCAAAATGGCACCAAATGGAGCAAAATGCAGCAAATTGAATAAAAATGGCCAAAAATGGCAGAAAATGGTGAAAAATGGAACCAAAATGGCCAAAAATGGCAGCAAAATGGCCAAAAATGGCAGAAAATGGTGAAAAATGGCACCAAAATGTCAAAAAATGGCAGAAAACAGCACCGAAATGGCAGAAAATGACCCAAAATTGCACCAAAGTGACAGAAAATCAAGGCAAATTACAGAAATTGGCAGCAAATGGAGCGAAAACGGTACAAAGCGGCAGAAAACGACAAAAATTGGACCCAAATGGCAGAAAAATGGCGCCAAATGGCACCAAAATGGAGGAAAACGTCAGAAAAACGGCAGCAAATTGAACCAAAATGGCCCAAAACGGTAAAAAACGGAGCAAAACGACACAAAAGTGACAGGAAATGGCACCAAAACGACAAAAAACTGGCCCCAAACGGCACCAAGATGGTGGAAAGTGGAACTGAAATGGTGGAAATGGACCCCAAAGCGGGACTGACCTTCCTCCTCCTCGGCCTCGAACTCCTCGTCCTCCTCGCGGGGCCCCCAGGGCGGGGGAGGGTCCCGGCCCCGCCTCAGCACCTGGGGGGGAGGGGACAGGTGAGCGTGGGGAGGGACAGCAAAAACATCCCAAAAAATCCTGGAACATCCCCAAAAAAATATTCCCAAAAAATCCCCCCAAAAAATCCCCAAGAAATTCCCAAAAAATCAAAACATCCCCCAAAAACCCCCCAAAAATTCCTGAAAAATTCCCCGAAAAAAATATTCCCAAAAAATCCCCCCAAAAAATCCCCAAGAAATTCCCAAAAAATCAAAACATCCCCCAAAAATTCCCAAAAAATTCCTGAAAAATTCCCAAAAAAATATTTCCAAAAATTCTCTCCAAAAAAATCAAAAAATCCCCCAAAAACCCCCAAAAAGTTCCTGAAAAATTCCCCCAAAAAATATTGCCAAAAATTCCCTCCAAAAAAATCCCCAAAAAATCAAAAAATCCCCCCAAAACCCCCAAAAAATTCCTGAAAAATTCCCCAAAAAAATATTCCCAAAAAATCAAAAAATCCCCCCAAAACTCCCAAATAAATCCCAAAAAAAATTTCCCCAAAAACCCCAAAAAAATTCCCAAAAAATCCCCCAAAAACTCCAAACAATGTCCCAAACAAAATCCCAAAAATCCCCCCAAATCCCCCCAAAATTTAAAAAAATTCCCCCAAAAATCCCCCACAAAATCCCCAAAAATAATCCATAAAAAATCCCAAAAGAATTCCCAAAATCCCCAAAACTTCCCCAAAAAATCCCCCCAAAAATTCTCTGAAAATAAAAAAAAATCTCAGAAATTCCCCAAAATAAAAATCCCCAAAATACAAAAAAAAAAAACCCCAAAAATTTCCAAAATCTCCAAGATTTTACCCCACCTCAGAACCTGGGGGGGGGGCGTGGCCAGGTGAGGGTGGGGGCGTGGCCAGGTGAGAATGAGGGCGGGGCCAGGTTTGGGGTGTGGGAGGAGCCAAATCTCAATGGGGGCGTGGCCAGGAGAGAATGGGGGCGGGACCATGCGAGGAAAGGGGGCGTGGTCAGCTTTGGATGAGGGCGGGGCCAAGTTAGGTGGGGGCGTGGCCAACTGACACAGGACGGGGGCGTGGCCAGGTGACATTGGGGGGCGTGGCCTTGTCGGGGTGGGGGAGGGGCGTTACCCGCAGGGGGGAGGGGCCATGTTGGGATGGGGACGGGGCCAGGTTCAGATGGGGGCTGGGCCGAATTTGGGTGGGGGAGGAGCCACATTTGAATGGGGGCGTGGCCAGGTGAGGATGAGGGCATGGCCATGTGAATTTGGGGGGCGTGGCCATGTTTGGGTGGGGGTGGAACCAATCATAAAGGGGGAGGAGCTAAATTGGAAACAGGGCGTGGCCAGGCGAGGAAGGGGGCGTGGCCATGTGACAGAGGGTGGGGGAGGGGCGCTGCCTTTGGGGGAGCACAGCCGGGTTTGGGTGGGGGAAGGGCCAAATTTGGATGGGGGCGTGGCCAGGTGAGGGTGTGGGCGTGGCCATGTGACAGAGGGGCGTGGCCAGGTGAGGGTGTGGTAGGGCGCCAGCTGAGTTGGGGGCGTGGCCATGTGACAGACAGTGGGGGAGGGGCGTTACCTATGGGGAGGAGGGGCCGAGTTTGGATGGGGCGTGGCCAGGTGAGGTTGGGGGCGTGGCCATGTGACGGTGGGGGCGTGGCCAGGTGACACAGGGTGGGAGAGCGGTGTTACATTTCGGGGGGGAGGGGCCAGGTTTGGATGGGGGCAGGGCCAGGTTTAGGTAGGGGAGGGACCAAATGTATGTGGGGACAGAGCCGGATTTAAATGTGGGTGGGGCCATATTGGGATGGGGGGTGGGGCCACATTGGGATGGGGGCGGGGCCATATTGGGTTGGGGCGGGGATACATTGGGATGGGGGCGTGGCCATATTGGGATGAGGGTGTGGCCATATTGGGATGGGGGTGGGGCCATATTGAGTTGGGGGCGGGGCCATATTGGGATAGGGGTGAAGCCATATTAGGATGAGGGTGGGGCCACATTGGGATGGGGGCGGGGGCTATATTGGGATGGGCCAGGGCCATATTGGGATGGGGTGGGGCTAAATTGGGATGGGTGGGGCTATATTGGGATGGGGGGGTGGCCATATTGGGATGGGGGCGTGGCATATTAGGATGGGGGTGTGGCCATATTCGGATGGGGGGCGTGGTCATATTGGGATGGCACTGGGGCCATATTGGGATGGGGGCGTGGCCATATTACGATGGGACTGGGGCCATATTGGGATGGGGGTGTGGCCATATTGGGATGGGGGCGTGGCCATATTGGGATGGGGCCGTGGCCACATTGGGATGGGGGTGTGGCCATATTGGGATGGGGCGGGGCTATATTGGGATGGGGGCGTGGCCACATTGGGATGGGGCGGGGCTATACTGGGATGGGGCGTGGCCATATTGGGATGGGGGTGTGGCCATATTGGGATGGGGCGGGGCCATATTGGGACCGGGGCGTGGCCAGGCGGGTTTGTGGGCGGTGGCCAGGCGGGTTTGTGGGCGGGGCTCCGTTACCTGCGGGGGGCAGCGCCCCCAGGAGGTCGCCCAGGGGCCGGGGGGGGGCTCGGGGGCCGAGGCTGCGAAAGGAAAACGGACAGGTGAGGGTGGGGGGGAGGGGACAGCACCCATGGGTGCCACCCGGGGACACCTGGGGACATCTGAGCACCCATGGGTGGCACCTGGGGACACCTGGGCACCCAAGGGTGGCACATGGACCTCCCTGAGCACCCAAAGGTGACACCTGGGCACCCATGGGTGACACCTGGTGACACCTGGGCACCCGTGGGTGGCACCTGGGGACACCTGGGCACCCAAGGGTGGCACATGGGGACACCTGGGCACCCATGGGTGGCACCTGGGGACACCTGGGCACCCAAGGGTGGCACATGGACCTCCCTGAGCACCCAAAGGTGACACCTGGGCACCCATGGGTGACACCTGGTGACACCTGGGCACCCGTGGGTGGCACCTGGGGACACCTGGGCACCCACGGGTGGCACCTGAGCACACCTGGGCACCCACGGGTGACACCTGGTGACACCTGGGCACCCATGGGTGGCACCTGGGGACACCTGGGGACATCTGAGCACCCATGGGTGGCACCTGAGCACACCTGAGCACCCACAGGTGACACCTGGTGACACCTGGGCACCCACGGGTGACCCCAAACTCCCTCCAAGTGACCCCAAACCCTTCCCAAGCCCCCTCAGGTGACCCCAGATCCTTCCAGGTGACCCCCAACCCTCTCAGGACCTCCACAGATGACCTCAAACTCCACAGGTGACTCCAAACCCCCCTGAGATGCCACCAAACCCCGTTCAGACGCCCCAAACCCTCCTCAGATGCCACCCCACCCACCCAGGTGACCCCCAAACCCTTCCAAAACCTCTCTGAGACCCCACCAAACCCCCCTGAGATGCCACCAAACCTCTCTGAGATGCCACCAAACCCCTCCAGGTGAACCCAAACCCCCATTGAGATGCCACCCAACCCCATTGAGATGCCACCAAACCCCCCTGAGATAGCACCAAACCCATCCAGGTGACCCCAAACCCCCTGAGATGCCACCAAACCCCTCTGAGATGTCAACACATCCATCCAGGTGACCCCAAACCCATCCAGGTGATCCCAAACTCACCTCAGAACCTCCACAGGTGATTTCAAACCCCCCCGAGATGCCACCCACATCCATCCAGGTGACCCCAAACCCCCCCGAGATGCCACCAAACCCCATTGAGATGCCACCAAACGCCCTGAGATGCCACCAAACCCATCTGGGTGACCCCAAACCCCCTGAGATGCCACCAAACCTCTCTGAGATGCCACCAAACCCCTCCAGGTGACCCCAAACCCCTCTGAGATGCCTCTAAACCCCACTGAGATGCCACCAACCCCTCTAAGATGCCACCAAACCCATCTGGGTGACCCCAAACCCCCTGAGATCCCACCAAACCCCTCTAAGATGCCACCAAACCCATCCAGGTGACCCCAAACCCTTCCAAAACGCCTCTGAGACCCCACCAAACCCCCCTGAGATGCCACCAAACCCCATTGAGATGCCACCAAACCCCCTGAGATGCCGCCACACCCACCCAGGTGACCCCAAACCCCCTGAGATCCCACCAAACCCCATTGAGATGCCAACACACCCATCCAGGTGACCCCAAACCCTTCCAAAACCCCACTGAGACCCCACCAAACCCCCCTGAGATGCCTCTAAACCCCACTGAGATCCCACCAAACCCCCTGAGATGCCACCAAACCCCATTGAGATGCCACCAAACCCATCCAGGTAACCCCAAACCCCATTGAGATGTCACCACACCCCATCCAGGTGACCCCAAACCCACCTCAGAACCTCCACAGGTGATTTCAAACCCCCCCGAGATGCCACCAAACCCCCCCGAGATGCCACCAAACCCCCCCGAGATGCCACCCACACCCCATCCAGGTGACCCCAAACCCCATTGAGATCCCTCCAAACCCCATTGAGATGCCGCCACACCCATCCAGGTGAACCCAAACCCTTCCCAAACCCCCCTGAGATGCCATCAAACCCCATTGAAACCCCACCAAACCCCCCTGAGATGCCACCAGACCCCAGTGAATCCCCACCAAACCCCATTGAGACCCCACCAAACCCCACTGAGACCCCACCAAGCCCCAGCCCAGGTGTTTTGGGGTCCCACCTGCGGGGCCGAGGTCCCCGTGGCGCGGCCGGGGCGCGTTGAGGCTGCGGCTGAGCAGGTCCGAGTAGCGCTCGGTCTGGCCCACGATGAAGTCCAGCTGCAGGTCCAGCGCCTTCTTGCGCTTCTCCTCCAGCCGCGACTGCTGCTTGAACTGCACCACCTGCCGGGGGGGGGGACACGGGGAGGAACCGGTGAGGAACACCTGGGGAACAGCTGGAGAAGATCTGGAGAGGATCTGGAGAAGATCTGAGGAAAAACTGAGGAACATCCGGGGAACGTCTGAGGAACGTCTGGAGAACAACGAAGGAAAATCTGGGGAACATCTGAGGAACGTCTGGGAACATCTGGGGAACATCTGGGGAAAATCGGAGGAACAACTCAGGAACATCTAGGGACCAGCTGGAGAAAATCTGGAGAAGATCTGGAGAAGATCTGAGGAAAAACTGAGGAACATCCGGGGAACGTCTGAGGAACCTCTGGAGAACAACTAAGGAAAATCTGGGAACATCTGGGGAACGTCTGGGGAAGATCTGGGGAACATCAGGGGAACATCTGGGGAAGATCTGAAGAACAACTGAGGAACATCTGGGGACCAGCTGGAGAAGATCTGGAGAAGATCTGAGGAAAAACTGAGGAACATCCGAGGAACGTCCGAGGAACGTCTGGAGAACAACTAAGGAAAATCTGGGGAACATCTGGGGAACGTCTGGGGAACATCTGGGGAACATCTGGGGAACATCTGGGGAAGATCTGAAGAACAACTGAGGAATATTTGGGACCAGCTGGAGAAGATCTGGAGAAGATCTGGAGAAGATCTGAGGAAAAACTGAAGAACATCCGGGGAACGTCTGAGGAACGTCTGGAGAACAACTAAGGAAAATCTGGGGAATATCTGAGGAACGACTGGGGAACATCAGGGGAACATCAGGAGAACATCTGGGGAAGATCTGAGGAACAACTGAGGAACATCTGGGGACCAGCTGGAGAAGATCTGGAGAAGATCTGGAGAAGATCTGAGGAACAACTGAAGAACATCCGGGGAACGTCTAAAGGGACATCTGGAGAACAACTAAGGAAAATCTGGGGAACATCTGAGGAACGTCTGGGGAAGATCTGGGGAACATCAGGGGAACATCTGGGGAAGATCTGAAGAACAACTGAGGAACATCTGGGGACCAGCTGGAGAAGATCTGGAGAAGATCTGAGGAAAAACTGAGGAACATCCAGGGAACGTTTGAGGAACGTCTGGAGAACAACTAAGGAAAATCTGGGGAACATCTGAGGAACATCTGGGGAACATCTGGGGAACATCTGGGGAACATCTGGGGAAGATCTGGGGAAGATCTGGGGAAGATGTGAGGAACAACTGAGGAACATCCGGGGACCAGCTGGAGAAGATCTGGAGAAGATCTGGAGAAGATACGAGGAACAGTTGAGGAACATCTGGGGAACGTCTGAGGAACGTCTGGAGAACAACTAAGGAAAATCTGGGGAATATCTGAGAACGTCTGGGGAACATCTGGGGAACATCTGAGGAAGATCTGAGGAACAACTGAGGAAGATCTGGAGACCAGCTGGAGAAGATCTGGAGAAGATCTGAGGAACAACTGAAGAACATCCGGGGAACGTCTAAAGGAACATCTGGAGAACAACTAAGGAAAATCTGGGGAACATCTGAGGAACGTCTGGGGAACGTCTGGGGAAGATCTGGGGAACATCAGGGGAAGATCTGAGGAACAACTGAGGAATATCTGGGGACCAGCTGGAGAACAGCTGGAGAAGATCTGGAGAAGATCTGAGGAAAAACTGAGGAACATCCGGGGAACGTCTCAGGAACGTCTGGAGAACAACTAAGGAAAATCTGGGGAACATCTGGGGAACGTCTGGGGAACATCTGGGGAAGATCTGAAGAACAACTGAGGAACATCCGGGGAACATCTGGGGACCAGCTGGAGAAGATCTGGAGAAGATCTGGAGAATATCTGAGGAACAGTTGAGGAACATCCGGGGAACGTCTCAGGAACGTCTGGAGAACAACTAAGGAAAATCTGGGGAACATCTGGGGAACGTCTGGGGAACATCTGGGGAAGATCTGAGGAAGATCTGAGGAACAACTGAGGAAGATCTGGGGACCAGCTGGAGAAGATCTGGAGAAGATCTGGAGAAGATACGAGGAACAGTTGAGGAACATCCGGGGAACGTCTGAGGAACGTCTGCAGAACAACTAAGGAAAATCTGGGGAACATCTGGGGAACGTCTGGGGAACATCTGGGAAGATCTGAGAAACACTGAGGAACATCTGGGGACCAGCTGGAGAAGATCTGGAGAAGATCTGGAGAAGATCTGAGGAACAACTGAAGAACATCCGGGGAACGTCTAAAGGGACATCTGGAGAACAACTAAGGAAAATCTGGGGAACATCTGAGGAACGTCTGGGGAACATCTGGGAAGATCTGAGGAACAA